ATCAACGGTGTCGTGCTGTCTGATGAGGAATGGACCCCTCAAAACGTAAGTGACAACCGAAGGAGACAAAATAACGAAATCAAGCTAACGTGCCAATAGGGTTTCATGACCGCTGCACAGAAGCTCCAGCGCAAGAAGATTCTCAACAACTACGAGAAGGAGATCAACAAAGCGTACGGCAAGAACTGAAAAAGGAGCGCATTGAAATGCCTGCTGCGTCGTTTTGAATTCCCAGTTTCACTGCTATTTGTCTTTCTTCTTTGCTTTCATCTGATTCCGCTTTGACACCCTCTCTGTTCTGTTGGTTTTGCTCACTTTGCGTTTCCTTCGGCTTTTGATTCCTGTTGATATGCCTGTTTGATGGGATATGGCTTGACTCTGTACTCTCTTCTCCCGCGATGTAGACGAGACAGTGATGAATGCGGACATGATCAGATCGACGTCGCAATGGATCTGGCTTCTATCTTATTCTATCTAGTTTATCTCATCATTTGTGCCCCAACTCTATTCTGGTGGCTCCTTCCGGGTGCCGCCTTATATGTTTAACAGAACATTAGTCCAATTCTCTAGTAGATATATGTGTTCATCACCTGCTAAATCTACTAGCCATATACAACGGTGGTACCTGCATGCCATTTGTCAAAAGTACCAGGGTACCTCACCGATCAGCCACAGTTACACCAGCTCATCTCCATCCCCCGTACCAATGGTGTACATGTACCTGACAGAACATGGTACGAAGAGACAAACCCACACCCTCGAACCCGTCACACTTGTACAATCAAAGTATCTAAATCGAAGTATATAAAATAGTCACTAGCCTCAGTCAAAATCCCGTGACACTATCACCACGTGACCCGGCCAGCCCACGCACGGAATACCAAATTCAATCTACGGAATTTCAGTACATAGTACACGGTCGCCGTATCTTGTCCAACCCGACAATTCCCTCACTCCAATCTAGCCCAATGTCTCTCTGGAGGTACGTGACATAACCCCCCAAAACCTATCACACGACTACGACAATCAAAAGAAAAACAATCCCCACATTGAACCCCAGACTAACAAGGCTCTCCCCTCCCAATACAGCTCCTACCGCGGCCTCAGCCCCAAGACTAGGGCTCTCTTCGGAATCGGCGTGATGGCCTGGGCAGGTATCGGACTCTGGACCGAGTCGAAGGTCGAGAGCGCGCTGGGTATGCAACCCTCGAAGGAAGAGCAGGAAGCGCTGGATCGGCAGATGGCGGTGCGCGTTTCGCGCGTTGGTGGAGATGAGTCGACACAGCTTCAGACGAAATAAGTTCCTGCTTTGTACTAGGGGTATCGGAGAGAAGCGAAGCAATTGGAAAACTACAAGGGCTCGAATGGATGGGACACAGAGGGAAGGGAAACAGACATGATGGCGCACAGGTCCTGGCTCGCATTTCCCGATGCTCATGTGATCGCTGATTCTCCCATGACGATAACTGCATATGTTTCTCTCTGAGAGTGTCTCTGTCGTGAATATCTACGGAGTCAGAAAGTCAGCCACGGAACCCTAGGGTTGAACGGGACTGGCTAAGAATGGGGCGCGGGCGCCCAAAGGAAACCAGGTCAGGCCAGCCCGTTGCAGGTTTGCTCAGGTTGACCTGGGAGTCCCGGCTCTGAGCCTCAATCAAGTCCACCACAAATTGAACTGTCAGTACTTGCATTGCAATGCTGCGCGCCCGTGCCCTCTCCATTCAGACACCAGACACCGGAATCCGGACTCCAAACTAAGCATCCACATATCCAGGATTCTATTTCGGATCAGACATCCCGGGATTCAAAAAGGGACCCGGTTCGTCGCGGGAAGAGGCGGTCATAGCGAGCCTGTGCCTGTTTGTCTCTTGATTTTTGTCTTGTATCGGGTCACCAGCCAGAAAGACAAACAAGTAGTGGGAGCCAACCATGGATAAAGTGGTCACCACCTACAGTACGGGACAGTATTCTGTCGTGCACGCAACGGGATATGGCCTGATCTCTCTGCCTTTCCCTGTCTCTCTTTTCCCCCACACATGTCGCATGTCCCATGTCATGTCCGTGCGGCTGCTTAAACACCCCAACCGCCCTGTTCACTGCGCGTGGTTGACAGACGCAGATGCAGAAGCAGGGAAGGGGACTGGGTTGTGCCCGCTTACCCCCGTACACCCGCCGGACGTTTTTTCTTTTCTTTGTTGAGCTTAGTACACCTGTGGCTCGGAAGAATTGCTGCGGCTGAGAGAGGTGGATCATTGCTTAGCCTGGTCCAGATCGTGACGCGCTGGTTCTTGGGCTGAGAGGCCAATCAGCGGGGGATTTTAATTCCCAGTCTTTTCTTTGCTCCGATTGGGAAAGACATGCGAGGGGCAGGTGGTCTGGTGGGGATTGTTTTGAGGTGATTTGGAATGTTTGTGGTTTCTTCTTTTTTTTTGCGACAATTTGATATGTCTTGTTGAGATATATGCGTCTAGGATAGCACTTGTTATCTGATCACATGTTGGGTCTATTTGATTTCGATATTAGGGCTAGTTATGTTCGTTGGAGACAAAGCCACTAGGTAACCGGCTGATAGACTCATTTGCCAGACCGGACAACCAACATAAAGTATTGAAATTGCTGGACTCTATTTTCTGAATAATCTCTTATACCCTCGAACCGAACCATAGCATATCAACATCAAGCATAGACACAAAGAACTATCCTCATGACTGCACATACCGTGCAGCTCTAACACAACCTATCTTCGGAACACAATTGATCTATATCATTTAGACTGCGTCACAAGGGACCCTTGACCATTGAATGACAATGTTGTGTATCTAAAAGATCAAGATCAGATACCCAATGTGGAACCAATGGGGAAGGGGACTTCTCTAGGTCGATCTAGGACTGGTTATATGCTTTGATTCTTTCCTTCTATTGTAAACTTGGAGAACGGAAAACATCATATTCGTTTCAAGGCCGGGGAGACGTAAGACCATTGCCCCGTATTAGACAGGATGACTTTGCATGTACATATAGCGCTAGGATAAACTAGTTCCCACTTGGAGATAAACCACGAGATACCCCGGAGGGTAGTTATTCGTGTGCTAGCTAGGGATTCAAAGATTTACAATATATACATGTCTATCCTTGACGGGAACCTGGTTCTGTGCAAGTCAAGCTTCGGAAGACAGGATTCCTTCCCAGTCCCCAAAAGAATTCCACTTCAATCCCCTCAACAGGCCCATAATCGGGCTCCTATATGTTGGCCTCAACCTGATATAGATCTGTAAAATAGGTCATGTGGTTCTATTCACGGTGAGACAGCCAAAAGAACACAATGCTCGGAGGACGTTGAAGTGGAACACGGGGATAGAGACCAATCTCCCTGGTGGTGGACAATGGCAACACTGCAAAGCCAGGGGTAGAGAATCGGACAGATGAATGCAAACACCGATCTAAAATAATATCCCCGACGTGGCAAGGCATAGTCAATTGACTTTTTAAATATGCACTGCGTTCCAGTACCTAATCTAGTGATCTCGGTCTTCGGTAGCCGCAACATGGGTAGGGATTGTTTGATTTATTTGATTTATAGGTAATAGGTAATAAAACCATGATCGTGTGCAGGGTAATCGGGTCAGCTTCGCTCTTTGGGTAGCGGGGAATGATAGTCCACTACCTGGGCTAGACACGAAGACTAAGGAGCACAGGGGTGTCTTGCCCTGGCGATTGTCGTTGATTTTATGACGTATAGAATTGATTCTCGTCGTACCGAGAACCCAGGGTCCATGTATTTACATCGTATGTCAATGGCTTGATGTTATATTTCATAGAATGCTTGCTATCCATGCTCCAATGTACACGATGACACTATATGACATGTTTCATTCAAGCCTGGTCAGCTTGTCTTGGATGTCTTATGCTCTTGTGTTCTTCTTGCCTGATATGCTGTGTGGCAGGTCTGGATCTGAGCCGTAACTTAACTCGGAGACGAAGTATCGAAAGGCTGGGGATAGGAAAGGAGGCATTCAGCTACTCACAGACTTTCCGCAAGCTATATTGATTAGTAGAGTTGACCAACGCAGGCCTCCACACAGCTCAGGCTTCGTCCATCTTCTAGACAGCGCTAAAAGAAACCACTCGGTGTCTACTCCATGAACTGTATCAGACGTTCACTACTGCGGAAAAAGCACGGGATGCGGAGGGCCCAAATCGCCACTGCATCGGAGTTGGGCAACTATACAAAGCTCTAGGATCTCCTGAATTTGGACTATCGTTAGGTTTTAAAGAGTCCGAACGCAATGAGCAGCATGTTGTCTCCTTTGCTCCCTCTCTTAGGGTGTCACAATAGTCAAGAATTGCGCCCCAGGTTAGGCAAACATAGTTGATGACATGAAATACTTTGGAAGAATTTGTTTGGTCTTTTTCCACCAGATAAATTGATATAAACAACATGATATACTAAGGTAGTGGGAATAGAAAGCTTATGTACTCCATCTAACACTTAGGAAATGTGACCTTCTCTCAAAGTCGTCACTGAATTTAAGCAAGAGAACCGAGAATTGGCGTGAATAAATAGACAGTACAAAATAGTCGGGCCAGAAAGGCGAAGTAGAGTTCAAGTGCACGAGCAGTAGCAAGATCATGAGACATGGAGTGGCAATAACATACAAAGGAATGTATATAAGAGTTATCCAAATGTGCTAGGACAGAGAGCTAATAATAAAAGCGTAAGATAGTAAATACTGTAATATTCGAAATCAGCTTTACCTCCAATTTCTGCATGTACGCGCACAATGCAACGTATGCCAGAAAACAGAGTGGATTCGTCGGAGGACTTAAAAGGACTGGCGTACGAAGATCGACTACATATAGGATAGGGTGGAATAGGACAGCAGAACTGACAGCTACTTATCAACGGAGCGCGTGGAACGACCTAGCCAGTTACAATTGCATCAGATTAGCGAAACAACTTTTATATAGCTATATCCTACTCTTGTTTGCTCTTCCAACGATCAAAGCCGCCTTTTGGACTCAGAAGATACCCACTGGCTAACCGTCATGAGCTCATCTGCGATAAGAGGCCAGACCAGGTTTGTTGCTGCCTTTTCTAACTCAATTGAAAAGGCCGCAGTTGCATCGGTACTGATTCAAAAGTCAGTAATCACTTCAACAAGATCTTTAATCCGTCATCCTAGAAAAATAATTCGTAACTTACAGCAAAGTAACATGGAATCCACTGTCCAAAGTTCTTTCAGTAAAGCTCTTCAGTCAAAACGCCCGGCAGGAGAGAGATACCTACATTTCACGAGCATGGCGTGCAGTAGTCTCAACGCACGTGTTGGTGGTCAAACCTGCCAAGACAATATGATTAATATCTCGCTGCCGGAGCTGATACTCCAGATCGGTGTTCGAGAAGGAACTATTATTATATGCGTCAGTATCCCCGTATAAGGCTGTAATGGGGCTCAAATGGGATTGATGTCTGGTTCTGACCTGCTGTTCCAGTGTCGAGAGACAACTACATCACCATTGCTAGACTGAGGTTCGAGATCTTTGAAAATTTGGCCACCAAACGCTTCGTCAAATGTCACATTATCTCTAATCCGAATCTGCGACGCATTCATGTGGTTCCAGCCAGAATAGGTTCCATTTTTAGTAATCTGATGCAGACCATAGAAGATAGGAATGCGGGCTCGTCTTGCGCCTGTAACCAGCTCTTTCATGTGTGTAAGAGAGTTAGACGAGTCTAAGCTGGCTTTCATACGAGGATATAACTTTCCCTCAGGGTGGAGGAAGTCATTAAGTGGATCAATGAGAACGACTGCAACACGGAAGCTCATAGTTGCATAGATTGGGGTGGAAGATAACAAAGGTGGATGTTTAAGAATGGAATGAAGGTTCGCGTTTTTTTAAGATGTATCCATGATTGCTTGATTTGTAAGCGCCATTACTCCTCGGTATTTTGGAATAGAAAGCCGGGAAGGATAATTAGAGATCGGAGACCAGACACTTGAATTTCATCTAGCCAATTGAATTGCATAGAGAGTATCGGGAAGGGCCATTGACGAGTACACTAAACGCAAGCGGAATAAAGTGGAGTTCGTTGATATAATCATCAAAAAGATAGGGACGCCTCTGACACCGTGACACCCCTTTTTAGAATAGTGTGGCAAAACCGGGTCAGAAGTGTTGAACAAAAAAGGGACGCCCCGTGTCATACAGTAGGCACGGTCAAACAGAGATATAAGGTGTAGGACTATTCAGATGCTCTAGCAAGAAGTGCCCTTGAGAAGCTTCCTGGGAAGAGCGGCATGACGCAACCCAGCGGCTAGCAGCTAATTCGTGACAGATTTCAATACAAGACATACTCTTTCGTACAGACGCTCAATCAGTGCCAAAGTTATGTTCAGTGTACATTTTAAGGGGCGGTTGAAGGACTTAGTTGAGCTTTGTGGTGCAACAAAGGGAACTTCCGCTTAATTACTTATAAAGCTTATGATCCACGAGATAGATTTGATATGCTCCAGTATTGAGTATTAGCAGGGGAATGGATAGAAATAGACTTAGGCAAGGCTTTCTTACTCTGCCCGACTTAGAAATTGTACGACAAGATTTTTGAAGCTAGTCTCAATGCTCCGTCAATATAGTGATGCTTGTACATACTATTGCCAACTTAAAGGATAAAGAATAGTTAAGGAGTATCATTCGTTACTCGTAATCTACAGTACTATGACTTTTTAAGGTACAACGATCGACAGAAGGCGGGCGGAAGGGTAGCCTTATTTGGAAAAGTGGACTTTTTGAGTGGGGAGCTGGGAAACAGTGAGAGAGAAATTGGAGGTAAAGCTGATTTCGAATATTACAGTAGGCATATTAACAAAAGGCGGCTAGGATTGTTCTTTTGGCCGACACTCTCGTGTACGACGTGCATAAGTACTTCTCCGTTCGGCCGTGAGAAAACCTAACCTCCAATAAGGAAATCTTTACCTAACAAAATATCTGAGCACCCTTAATTAACACATTTTCTTCTCATCGGAATGCGATGTAGCTCCCCGGTGGCAAGCTAGGTATACAAATGCGGTAATAACACTTTATTGAAATGAACTGATCTAGGTGTTTCAGATCAAAGTAAAAGAGAGTCTGATCTCCACAATCAAACCCTAACTGATCTATACGCAGCCAATACTTCAACCTTTTGCCTCATACGGATATTACCACCCCAGTCTATAGCAGACAAAGTTGACAAGGATTATAGTGTTTAAAACATCGAAATCTGCCGAGTTGCATGGGAGGCTGAGATGATACGAGGATCATTTCCATTTTGGAAAAAAGACATGATGGAGGGGGAACATGTATTTGAGTCATGGGTCGCTCTATACCCTCGTGGACACAAACCAAACAAGAAAGAATAAGAGATCGAATCAAACACCCGCATTCAAAAAATTTGTTTATGTTTCACTTCGTTATTTCATACACTGAGGCTATGCTGGATTTGTAAATACTCTTATACTCTGCATTGCCGCAATAGCCAAACCAAGGCTGAGCTGGGATGCAATAAAATCTCAGCTGCACATGTACCGTCGATCACGATCTGCGCCTTTTGATTCATTACATACATGGTACATAACAACATAAGTACAGTACACCACTGACCAGATAATCGATACTCTAAAGAAATATATCTGCATTTCTTACTCTGTACTTTACATAAGAATAATCCCCAACGGTAAGCCTAATCTCTGCTGCCTAGCAAGAAACCAACAAGAACCGCAAGCCAGAAGGCCTAAACCCAGCCCTTTTGAAACTTTACCCCAAACAGGATGCTGCTCAACTCCCTAATTGGCTCTAGTTACTTGTTCCAGTGTGCATCTTCCCACCCTTCCAGCCGGTTCTGGATATGCACAGCACCTAATCTGCTCCGTTTGGGTTTAACCGCGGAGCCCCCGCGAAAAGCCATAAGAAAAAGAAAAAAAAAAATCAAAATTCAAGGCAAAAGCAAAGTAAGCACGAATTGCTGATTGCCCGATACGAAAAGCCCTTTGATCTTGCATGACCCTGCAATAACCACAAACCAATTATTACTTAGGTCACCTGTACCCATGCCATTTACATTACAAGTACATTAAGGCAGACATCAACCCATGAAGGTAAAATAGCATACAGTTAGCCAACAGATACGAATACGAGAAAAGAGCCACGGAGGCAAATTACCCTGGGTCATTGCATGCCTCACGTTTGATTGGATAGAGCACTGACAAGAAGAAAGAAGAAACAAACAGAATGCCAGGCAGGCAGGGAATAAGAAAAAGTAAATTAAAAGTAAAATAGCAAAACTGCGTAAACCCCCGGGCATTGAGAATGGAACTGGGAGCCCTGCAATAACATGCTGACTAGGACCAGGACCGCAGGAAATAACGGTTCTGGTCATCGGGCTGAGCAAATCGGGGAATTAAATCTCAGATCGATGTTGGGGACAATCGGGGTCAAGTTATGGGAATCGGACTAGAGGCTGGAGCTTTGGGAGTATGTTTTGTAGGTTGGTATAGATCGTAGCTTCCCGTGTGTGGTATGGTTAACTTCAGGCATCATCCACATCTGTATTTTCGATCTTTCTACTCCGTTCAGTTTACTATGATAAAGCAAAGTCTAGATCTCAATTCCCTGATAGATTTTACAGTTTTGGGCTGAAAAGATAGAACATTTTCACGGGTTGTTGCGGAAGAAAGTCTTCAATGGGCATTCTGTATGTTTCTTTTCAAAACACATGACAGACAAAGGGGGGAAAAGCTAGGGTCATAGCAAGATAAAGGAATAATATAGAATGACAGAGAAATAAGATCAGGATCAAATTCACCAAAGAAATCGTTAAAAATAAAACAACGAATAAAAATAGTTCACCAATATCACCCACGCCTTTCTGCACCAGTGCATAAAATCCGTTACATAGGGTCATATCAAGCAAAGTAGATATAAAACACAAAAGAACCAAAAAGGGAACGAGAAAGTAAGAACTCAAGTGCATAGAGTATGCGAGCTCTGAATAGGATCGTAACGGCTGTAAGTCGTAGAATAAACCGGGTCATAACCACCTGTAGTTGACTGATGGTGCTGGTGGCTAGGAACACCTGTGTAGGATGGATCTTGATAGGGGTCTGATTTCAGGTATGGATCCGATTTGAGGTAAGGATCTACCTTGATAGTATCCATGGGGTCCATTGTATCAATCATGGAGTATTCAAAGCCAGAGGAGGATGAGGATGAGATGAGAGGGCTATCACTGAGAGGGGAATGATCCGTGCCGGGCATCTGCCGGAAATCGGATCTGCCATAGGCGACGCTGTTCCGATGAGATGTGTCATACATATACATGTGTGAGCGGCTTGTTTGGCTCAGACTGTGTGGAATGGAACCGCTCTTGCAGTTGCCGTCGGCTCCTGCGCCGTCGGGACCCATGCTGGCTGTGCTGCCGCGGCGTCCATCCTTGTAATGCCCGGGCGAACGACCACGCACTACCATAGGGTGTGAGTGGCGACGGGCGATCTGAATCCACTGCGTTTCACCGGGGACTGAGCTAGCAATCTCGGCGTAGAGCTCGACGACCAGATTGTAATATTGCTGCTGGGCGCGACGCTTGCCGTTGTTGGCGGTCGCTTTTTGGAATTGAATTCGTTCGAACATGTGAGACGTTGGGGGCTGACATGGTTGAGGTGCTCCTGTGAAGGAGGAGTTGTAGTCCATGGCCTGGGAGCTGAGGGGGAACCCTGACAAATTTCCGTTGCTGGTTGAGGTTGTGGAGTGACAAGCTGGGGGAGAAGGCTGAAGAATGACACGACCTGGTTTGCGTTCGGATTGTTTGTCGCGCTTTGGGGTATGTTGGACAAGTTCTCGAGTTTCGCCTCCGTATTGGCCGTTCACGATGGCAGAAATGGCCATTGAAAACCCGCGAATCAGCTCAACTGTCTGATCAGGGTAGCGGATATAAAGAGGAACAGTGTGAGGCCAAGGATGAAGACCAAAACCGCAGGTCACGGAGAAATAGTTTCGTCGATAGCAGGTCCATTTGCCGTCGGACGGGAAGAAGCCCCGGCCCATTTTTGCGTGAACCTCGGGCTTCAAAGCTTGGTATTGACCACCAAAATCTGCAACAATCGTTTCAAGGAAAGTTGTATCATCGAAAGGCGGTGCCTCAATCTGTGGCTGTGAGCGTTGTGCGGAATCCACCATCGGTTGCTGGTACAAGGTACTCTGGGTCCGCTCCAGGTTTTCTAAAGCTCGAGGAGTGCCTGAATACTGGTGGCGTGTGGGAACATCATTCATTCCAGCCAAAGGTAAACCCATAGCTCCAACACTTCCACGGTGTAAGGCATATGATCCCCCATAGCCATTGTTGCGCCCCATAAGGGCAGGAATGGGGTTCAAAGCATACCCTGAGCTTTGGGTAGCAGATGGGATAACAGCCGGAGGTTGGCTATAGCATCGAGTATAGATTAGCCACAACTTCATCCACGATTGATAGAGGAAGGCTTACAGAGCTGGCACCCGCCGAAAGTCCATTCTATCAAAGGAATGTTGAAGCTGGGAGAGATGAGGGAAGATGGGGGCAGAGGAGGGCGAAAACGAATCTTTGCACCAACAATCAGTTAGAGCATGTCTCAATAGAAGTATAAGGAAGGCTTACCAGGACACGAGTCTGGAGGAGTCATCGTAAGACCACTTGAACCGGAATATCTAAAGCAAAAAGTTCAGTAAAACAAGATCCACGTGCGATCGCCTGGAATTAAAACAGCGCCAGAAGATATCAGAAGAGTCCAAGCGCAGGAAACCATGATGCGCAAGGAAGCGAGTCAAAAGGGGGGCGAAATGAGGCAAAAGACCTCAACGGCACAAGCTCGATAAAAAAGGACACATCGGAAGAAAGACATGCGGGCAGCAGATCGGTATGGAAGGTACAGAAACAGGCCGGACTGAAGTCCAAGCTGCCCGGACCCGGAGGAAGCGCAGCGACAAGGGTCGAGAGGCTGGCCGAGCGCAAGGGTAGTCCAAATTGAAAGGTAGAAATAACTTACTGTAAATCCTGCAACGCAGGCTGCTGTGCATGGTACCTCACGCCGTTGGTGTCAGGCATGGAGGCGAGACCTCCGACTCGCCGGCTGTCGTCTTCTTCCATCGCAAACCCTGTCACATGGGGGCTGATATAGTTACCCTCCGAAGTTGCTGGATCATTCAGTGAGAATGACTCCGATAGCAGAGATGCTGAAGTTTCCATAGGTTAGATTTGGGGAAATATAGAGAGCTAGGAATGTTGAAACAAGCCGCATGACAAGAATAGAGAGGAAGGAAAATATTTAAAAAAGGAAAATATTTAAAAAGAGGAGAGGTAGAAAAGCTTACCGGGATTCATCCTGAGTGTGCTGATTCCAGGTGCTTCGAGACCCTGAACTTTGGTGCAACTGAGGTAGCACCAGCGAGACGCCAAAGCTTTCGGTCCTTGACTTCTTGGGTGGCAAGAAGTTGATATCTAGAATAGCCAGGGTTAGTGACCAGACCGAGGATTTTGCTCTGTCAAATTCCCTCATACCCGTTTGATGCCACTAGTATCCAGGCCTGTCGGATATAGCGTGTCTGAGTCTATGAGAAAAAGAATAGGTTGGAAATGGCGAATGCAAAGAAAGGGCCACTTCGGCCGGTCTCTTGATAGAAGCCGGAATGTCTCTCAGAGATCGTGGCTGGGGGATAGATATGAAATCTGGAGGGGAATGGTGGAGTATATGAAAGTTGGCAATAAAGAGCGGAGTGAAGAAAGAAGGGCCTCAAAGTTGAAGAGAAGAAGGCGATGACATGCTTCAAGAGAGTGAAGCCTTATAGGTGACAGGAAAAAGTGAATGGTGAATGTCGGGCAAAGAGTGCGTCACCGATTGATAGACATGACTTCCTAATTGGGGACCCTCACATAAACCAGAGTACTGGGTACACACACGCAAAGAAGGTATAGATCGGACCAGGCTAGTAGCGCTGAGACCATCGAAAGAAAGGAAAGAAGTCTGTAAAAACGACCAAATGGAAACAATAGCAATCACAGAGGGGCAAAAAGAAAAGTCCAGAAGGGGAAAAGATAAATTCACTGATGTAATCCGGTGTGACAGTATGAACAAATCAAAGACAGCTCGGCATCAACAAGTATCTTGCAGGTACTGCAAAAGAATGCGACCTCCAACTCCCGCAACCCTCACTTTAAGAGAGTGCCAGAGCGGATGCAGAGCAGATCCTAGGGATGTTCCTTTTGACAGGTTGCAGAAGTGGAATTTGTGGCTTACCTACTAGATATAGAGATGGGAGGGTGATGTGTGTGCTAAGATTGAGATCGAAAGGTGCGTATGCAATTGAGCTTTATGGGAAAAAAAAGAAGAGAAGAGATATTTGTTTGAAGCTCATTCCAAAGCCGTTCTCGGGATTGCTCCCTTCTACCCTGGTCAGTTTGAAAAAGACTCAACGATCTAGCCGAGAGGCGACCACTCCCACGAGTTCCTGGGAACTGCCAGGGACAGTGGAAATACGTTGTATTCGATAAGGCTACAATGGATGGCAGCATTTTGCATAGGGGTCCAACCAGAATCGGCCAAGAATTTCCATGAAAAATCAATAGATTTTTTTCTTTTTTGATGATTTGTATTTCCCCCTACTTCCGGTAAAGCGCGAATGCGGTGGGTGCGCGTCTCCATAGTTAGAGTAGCATCGAATCATCGGCTCCGGCCCCAGACAGTCTGATTGTCGAAGGAACATGACATTGGTCGGAATTCCATGCATGTCCTAGGACCCGACACCTGCTGCACGGACCGTGACTGGGATAGGATGTATTTTCCCTTCCAATTCCCGAAGTCAGATGCCCCAGCACAAACCGACAGACGGGTTACTGCAGGAGAACGAAATAAGATGAAACTAGAAAGGATGGAGGAGATGATCAACGCCCCGGGATAGCCGTGCAGACCCCAGTCCCATGACAGAGGTGATGTATCAGACTTGGAAGCCAATAACAATAAGGTTGGATTTTGGGGGGTGGGAATGGGTTGTCCTCACAAGGAAGAGAAGATCCTTGACCATGGTCCGTGATTTTCGGTGAAAAGCCTGTCGGAGTAGTCCCATCATATTCATTATTGATTTGATTACTTTTGGGTCACCCAGGAGGCTCGAGGATCCCAGCAGCAGTGCTTGCATGAAGAAAGAGGAAGATCATGCGATCGGCGGTTTCCATTGAGCAAGCTGCATTGTTCATGTTGGCAACGTCCTCACCGACAAACCAGGAAGGGGAATAAACACATCACGTTTGAGCTGACATGGCTAACAAATTCCAGTCCAAAAGAAAGAGACCTAGCACACCCGGCTTTCTGTAAAAAAAATGTAAAAAAAAATGTAAAAAATGTAGAAAAGGTAAGACTTAATGAAGGACGTGGATCTCCACTAGGGGCGCTAAAGTAGATGCAACGGGGGAAGGAAATGCACTGGGGGCGGTCCGTACCCGGTAGCCTTTTCCAGAATGGAGCTTTCAGGCCCACCGCAATCTAACCACGGCCTTGGGGGGGTAGATCCAATCCTAGTCTCCATGGGCCCCCATCCTGATCGCGTCGACGGAATTGCATTAGTGGCTGGAAGATCGGCCATCCTGCAGGAGGCTAGCTGGGCGTGATGGAAATGTGCAGGGTGAAAAAGCACCCGCGAGCCCATGATTGGCGGGAGAAGACCTAGATCGAATTCCTCGGAGCCCCAGTAAATGGTAATGGAGGGGGGTATGTTGTGCAGGTTTTTTGCCCCACGTAATGGTGCTTTTGCCAATATCGGAATTATTTGCAGGGTTCTTACTCGAATCGAGACTAGAACGATCAGACGGTGATGAGTGATGTGATAAATGACGATGTTGACATTGCTCGGGTTTTGGCTATCCCTTCCCGAGGCACGTGCAGGGGCGGTGAACCCAGGTAAGTAACGAGTACATGGACTTGCATATTGGAGATGAGTGAGCCGAAGTACAGATGACTTGCAGATACAACTACACATCCAAGTATCTACGTAACTCCAGGGCTATAATAGTCGCCTGCCCCCATATGGCGTACTTGCAATAAGCAAAAGTTATTATATGTCCACTCCACTTCCGATCTATCACTTATATTACAAGATATACACATAACCATAATTGTCCGGACACTGCAGGTACTGTACCAAAGCCTATTCCTGATGATTTGAGTTTCCTGTCGGGGCAATTAGGATGTGCATGAACCCATCAATCTAACCATGGATATGCAGATCGATCAAAACCTTGAAGCAAATTCGAGGTTGCAGTATCCTCCTGTCTCAGCTATATAAAAAAGATTAAATGAAATAAAAAGCAAGACAAAAAGCTGAGACCCTGTCTATATTCAGTGCCCATAGCATATCCCGAGTCCGTGAAGAATTGCCATCTCAACGCGAAAAATACTCCTGTGCAACGGCCATCTACTGCAAGATGAGAAAGCCCCGTGGTCAATGCCATGGATGTTTTACAGCATTCGGCCGGATAGTACAGTAGGCAACAGGTCTATGCAATAGTCAAGAACATGCCGGGGTCGGGATGATCTACTTTGAGACATTTGGAATGTTTTGAATTTCGAATGATCATTGGCTCTGCAGATCAGATGCAAGTGTCATTCTAGACCCCTACAATATGCGCGTTGCTCTGGGATCTTCAATGCGACACACCCAATGGATCCAGACCGTCCATCCTGGTTGGTTCGAGGCAGATTATGCACCAAGTGCGGAAGGAGTTAAAAGGTTTTACTCTTTGTTGCCTGATGTCTGGCCCGGAATAAGGTTTCAACGGTCATTCCGAGACATATCGACCTCAGTTTACTTCACTCTCCATACTTGTCCTCATTCATAGACCGGGTTCGACTTGCTCCACATATCTCGGACACAAGGTTCGGTGATGGGTTACCTATGTATCACTTCTTCCGAAATTGATGCGACAATTGACCTGATTCCTGGTAGCCCGTTGCAATGGATGAGACGAGCTGCAGAGTTAACAAGGCATTCATTTGTCTGACGGTGCTGGTTCACTTCCTTGTCCTCCGTACAGGCAAATTTACTGCCCTATATTGGGATGTCATTGGCAAGCAGCCCTATCCTGTCATCCTAAACCTTGATCGCCTGGATCTCCGGTCCGGCAACATCGATCGTATCACAACCAAGAAGCTCCTGGCAAAAAGGCCCCATCAAAGTCTGAAGGATCCTGACCTTGCCGGCATAGATGGCAAGGCAACGTGTCAGCCAAACAAGGGACTCGCCGGAAGCCAGGAGGTCCCATTGGCTCGCCATCTTCAAACTCTGGACATGAAGCTTGTCAGGTGGGCAACATGCTTTGGATGGCGTCGATGGCAGACCAGTTGAAGATTGCCGAGAGCCAAACAGTCCACCTGTCAGCCGTTATTTTTTGTTTTTCGCCTCTCAGTGGCAATCAACCTTAGCCTTTGTCAACGATTTCTGACAGCGCCCAGCCAACCCTAAGATGCGCCGACGTAGCACGGAGAAACAGCCAAGAAAAAAACCTGCTCAACGGCACGGAGCCGAGAGGTTTCTCAACGAAGAATTGCCCTTCTTGTCGAATCAGTCGAACCAATAGCATCACTATCCTCCTCGTTCTGGCGCTTCAATTCCCTGCAATGTCACCGAGACTTCGGAAAGTCATGAACACCTTTCACATGTGTCTGCCTATCGTACTAGATGGCCGCAGCGGAAGCCAAAAAAAAACACGGTGGCCTGGAGAGCGGTTCAAAGGAAGCAGTAAACAACAGGGTAAAAAAGCTCTCAACGCTCCACTCCACCCCTGTCCACGCAAACCCACTCGGGGGCCAAAAAAGCCAGAGCGCAGGTAAGCTTTCTGCCGCCATCCAAGTCTCTTTCCTAAAAGAAACACCGATACTACGTTATACAATAGCATCCATCCCGTTGCCGGGATATTTAAACAAGTCAATTTTTGCCGGCGAGGCTTGGTGTTTTGAGTTCATTTGAGATCTCTTGTCGATCTATACATAGGTACTTTTGTGATTAGACCGGGGAATCTAGGACCCGAGGCGTAGATAGTACGAAGTAAAGCGTGTCTGTGCCTCGCCTTGTGGGTACTGTACATCGGAGACAGGTACAGTTACCAGCTCTAGAAGGATCCATTCCGGTGTCATCTCCACTGTCATCCGAAGATGCAGAATTTGATGTCTCAAATGCTTGAACCACCACATTCCCTGGGATGTATCTGATATTGGAGCAGTCGAGGCCTGCGCCTTTTTTCTTTCTTTTGAGGGTGACGGCTTACCCCTGTCTATGGTTTGGTGGATTTCTTGTCAGCCGAGCATTGCACCAGATCTATGATATTCATGGACATGGTGATATAACTGGTTTTGTATACTGAAGTCAAAGGTGGAGGGAGGTTGAGGCTGACTCCTTTTGCAAATTGAGGGATACCCGAGGACCGCAGAATGAAGGTCCATCTATGCAATGTGAATAGCTTGAGAAAGTTGAGTCGTGAAATGAGCGTGGTGGATAACTGACATCTTGCACATGTACCATGCTTGGTCGATGTTGAGATCGACCCCGTACCAACCACATTCCTCACGACCATGTTAAACCAGAACTTAGATTATCAAGGGATTGGGTGCTATATTGACATAGATGATGTCTACGGGGTGGACGATCCAGGAACAATACACGTGGCACATGTCCCATGGGAGCATGGAATGTTCCGTGGTTGGCATGAAGCAAATATAGAATAAAACCTTCTATAAACAAGCGCCGATTCTACCCAGGATCAATAAATGGCCACAGAAACCAAGACCATGCAGAATTGGAATGAAATGTCTCTTAACCCATTGCTTTTGTATCTGACGAATGCAAGTATATGACATGAAGGATGTCTTTTTGGTAATCATCATTATCAATCAGATCATACAGTACAAAGGAAGAGAGGATCGGCCGAAAGGCAGGCCCGCCTGAGAAGAAGGAAACAATCCAACCAGAAAGTCGTAAAAGAAAACCGAGAAACGAATTTAAGTAGACCGCTTGGCGAACTCGACGCGGAGAATGAGGTGGCGGTAACCGACTAGAAGAAGAAAGTGTTAGCGCTCTGGGGACTTGTCCAATGTCAATGCTGAAACAGGGTAAAAACATACAGCCATCCACCTTCTCGCAAGCAAGCGCCGCATCGCCACGGTCCGCATAGCTGATGAATGCGAAGCCCTTGGCCCTCTGGGTTTCCCGATCCCGAGCAAGGAAGACTCTGGTAACACGACCGAACCGTTCGAAGAGATCCCGCAACTCCTGTTCCTCTGCCAACTCGCTGACCTGTTTGAAAGAAAGAAGTAAAAATCAGCACGGAACCAATGTAACAACCGCAGCCCTCGTAAAAGGGCAGATAGAGCAGTACGTACGTTTGTAACTCTCAGAGTCGCCAAATCGTCCTTCTCGAAGCGACCACCCATCTTCTCGCCACCGCCAGCACCACCCTTCCGCATGTGAGGAGGCACGTAGCTGGAGCCCGAAGCACCGAGACCACCCTTATCCTCTTCCACATCGGCAGCACCAGCACCAGCGGTACCCTCCTCGACGGGGGCCATGGTGTCCTTGAAGGGACAGCGGGCCGTGAAATGCTCTCCGGAACAAATACGACACTTGACCTTCTTGTCCTTGAGCTGGTCCTTCATGCTGCCCTTCTCGCCGCCGTCCTTCTCGGCCTCCTTGGCCTGTGCCTTCCAGTTAACACTGGGGCGGAAGACGATGTTCTCGCCGACGGAGGTGGTGTCGAAGGAGGGACCGGCGGCGTGGCCCTTCTCGTTTCCGAACTTTTCCCATTTGCGGCGTTCGGCGACTTGAGGGTTGACGTGTTCACGGACCACTGTGGTCTTAATCCGGCGGGTGACCTTCACTTTCTTGTTGTCATCGTTAAAGCGGTAAGAGATGACGGTCTTGGTGCCGTCTTTGTTCGCGATCACTTGTTGCGCGGGGAGCGCGGAGGGGTCATCGAATTCCTCATCGTCGGCCCAGTCGGCGCGGCTGGAAATTGAAAAATTTGTTAGACAGAAGAATTTGAGGGGTTTTGATGGGGTTTACTCACTTCCCAAGTTTAGACATGGTGTGTGTAGTGGTGTTATTGAACTGCGGCTGAATTTCTGGATTTCTTTCAAAGGCGAATCCGTTGTGGATTTGATAAATTACTGTGGCGCTGTGGCTGGTGAAGTCACGTGGGGCGGTGATACCCCCAGTCCTCTTTCTCCTTTCGACATCCTGTTTATAGTGCGGGTAAAAGCAGAAACAACTAAGAGCAAGAGCAACTTGCGTTTTTTGCTCTACGGTATATCTAAGTACACCGATACCATCCATTGAAAAACCACACCGAACCCCATTGCGCTAAAATCATGCTCCCACTAACCACCAGCCATACCAATCCCCCATAGCGTATGAAAACCGCCTGCCACCAACAAACCTTCTTAGCGCTATGTTCATAGAACATAGTCTTCTTGATACGGTTCATGAAATCATGTTTTAGACGTAGTCAACCTTGACTGAACCATGATCTTTACCACCAAACCACAACGAATGCTCGCAGTGTGCGGAATAGTACCTGGCCTGTATCTTGTACTCGACCTTGTAGTACTCCTTCCAATCTGCACCGACTTTAACCGGGATAGTCGCCTTGGAGATACGGTCAAGTGGCGGTTCAAGGATCGCGTGTTTCTTGATCGCTTCGAGATGTAACGATACTTTAGTATCTTCAGATATGACAAGTAGCCAAGCGAAAGGATCACTTACTTCGATTGAAGTACAACGGCGCATCTTCCCCTTCGAGTGTATTCAACTCATAAATTTGAACCGGGACAGAATTCACCTCGCCTTGTGTTTTGAGAAGATGCCTGACATAGGATGTAGTGATTGGCACTGACTCTTGTACATCCTCCCCCTATCATTTTCATTAGCCCTCAACCTCACTTATCCGGATATATTTCTGCGAATACTGGCCTTGTGTATGAACCATTTCATCACAGTGATGTAAAAGGCCCCATGGTAGAAATCCCAATACCTTTTAGTACAGTCTAAGGTTAGCATGAGTCGTTATTTAGGACCATAATAGTCACCTTTTCCGTAGATCATGACCATCCTCGAACGGAACATTTATCGTAACACCGTAATGCTTTCGAGACACCCGAGACTCGACCTGGATTTGGGGCGCAGGATCAGACATGTCAGCGAGCGCTTTTACACAAGCCCCTCTGGCGACAGAGGTCCACCCATTAACAGGGGCGATGATGTTAATTTCGGGGGGAATGAAACGGCGCAGATATTCAAACAATAGCGGGCTTTGTCCAAACCCACCGACGAGGAAAACGGACTTGGGGCGGTTTTTCGAAAGCCGAATTTGACGCATGACTAACTCGAGGGTTTCGGTCAGAACAGGGAGTAATGTATCCATCAGCTCCTGGCCTGTCACTTTGTAAGAAGTTCGATGTATACCAAGTGATTCATTATCAGCGAGCCCTGGTACCGGGACGAAAAAATCTTGTTTCGTATCACCGCTAAAGCTTCTCTTCGTCTCCATTTCAAACTCACGCATGGCAGCTCCCAGAGTATCGTCGTCCCAACCCTCGCAATTTCCCAGTCGCCCAGAGAGAAAATGTTCGAAAAGATTGTTCAGGAAAATCCCCCCGCAAAGTTTACCGTCGCCGGCAGCGGACTCCTTCAGACGAAGCACGGGCTGAAGCGCAAGAATTGTGAAGGTGATGCAATCCACAGTTCCACCTCCTGCGTCGCAGATAACAATAGTGTCATCGACTTCAAGGGCGGAGAGATGACCCTTTGTCATAACATGGACTGCCGCGGCTTCGGGCTCCGAAATGATTTGAATATCCGAGGCTCGTCCGAAGCCAGCTTTCTCGGCGCAAGTACGTGTCTGGGCTTTCGCCTTTTCTGGCCACATAGCGGGAACCGCGATCACATATTTGAACGACATCGAATCAAGAGCGGTGCCAAACTGTTCCTTGAGAACCTTTGGAATATGCTCTTGCAAAGCATGTAGATAATCGATCAAAACTTTGTTTGCTGTCACCCTATGTGGGTAATTCATACGTCGAGGATCATGGTGATCGGGCAGAAGGGTAGCCTTGCGATGCTTCCTTCCCTCAGGGACGAGATCCAGTTTGAACGATTGAAGACGTGGCATGTTCTTGGGAATTTGGGCTCCCCAGACAGGCAAGACTTTGCGATTGTCGTAGTTGTATGCCAGTTCAGAGGGCGTCTTGTCGGCTGTCTGACCACCGAGGTCGCCAGCAATATTGTAAGGCCATCGTTGGATGATATGTATGGCCTCAGGCTGAACAGGTTAGCATATCACGCATTCGAAGTAACAAGCCTATCATTCACCCACGTTGGCCGTATGAGCCCATGCTATGCCGGAAAACGTTGTACCAAAGTCTATGGCCACAACGATATCTTTCTTTGGCTGCGTCATGGTTGAAGTTCGATTGAAGGATGATCAAGGAATAGTTAAAGAATGAGAGAAGATCAGTAAATGTGGAACTCGGCTTCTCTCAAGAAAAGAAAACTGTAATGCTCAAATTTAGCGTTTTGATCACAAGGATACAGATTCTTCGGATCTGTTCCAAGGTTAATTTTGTGGTTCAAAGCCAGTCAGCGAAGGGTGAGAATTTGTACTTAAAGTTCTGATGCTGCCTAGTGACAAGCAGATAAGATAGAAACACCAGACTGGAGGTATTGAGATTTGCGAATAGAAGCGTGGAATTAAGACGGGAGTAAGAATTGAGAAGCGTAGGAGCTTGGCCTTGAAGCTTTAATGCGCGAGAAACGCGATTAATGCCCGTGGGATTTGTCAGTGGGATTGAACAAAGAGACTGAAGAATGAATGAGAATGTTTGATCAGTGTGTGAAGTGGATGCAAGAAGAAGAAGAAGAAGAAGAAGAAAAAGAAGAAGAAGTCAAGTTTTTAGACCCCTTGTACGTTGTTCAAAACCCATTGCAGCATATTTGGGTCTAGACACCATCTAGGAAAGGGTATATGGTAAGAGAGAAACTCGGGCGTAGCTTTAAAGACGAAGGATTCAATACTATTAGCCTCCAAAATCTTGCTTTAATTCATGCACGGGGTAGAAATGCATGAATGTCACTTCTTTGACGGCAACCACCTCTCCCTCTGGTGTATGACGAACGAGTCCAGGGAATAGAAGCTCCAGGCATTTACCAACCACGGTATTCTCAGGCAGATTGTTGAAGCTGGCTGGCAGAACTTCGCGTTCAATGAATTCGAAAATAGACGTATTATATAGCTTACTCCTTGGATAGGTACCATAACAGATGCAGTAGCGAAGCACAAAAGTAGTGGAATTACACGCAGCCAAGACAAACCAGGACAAATAAGAGGAAAGGGCCAACACAATGTAAGGAAGCAATATATCAGACCTTCACAAATCATGAACATTCTAATCACCACATTAAACCGAAAAATAACAAGACTTGACAAAAGAAAAGGACACAATCTCAAAACTCCTTCAAAGCCTCCTCAGTCCACTCCCACAACCTTCCCGCAAGCGCCCCCTCCCGATCCACAGCAACAGAATCTAAACTCCCATCCATAAACTTCCCAACAGGCTCATAATAACCCCCATTAACAACCCCCTTTTCTTCATTCTTTCCATTCTCCCACTCTACAAAATCAACAGTAGCAGCCCAAACCTGATTATACGCCCCCTCCTCAGGCTTCACAAACCTCCACCAAGCAGTAGCATAAACAACAGCCCGATTCTTTAAACTCATCGCATCAACCAAACCCGTGTTCACAATACCAGGATGAACAGCCAAAAACTTAACCCCAGATACCCTCTTGGCCAGTTCACGCGCGTATAGCATATTCGCAAGCTTACTCTGCCCATACCGGTGCCATGGACCAAGGAAACACTTATCCTGATCTGTATCCAGCGTCTCAAATACGATCCCGCCGCGCGGGTGGAAAAACCAGCCTTCTGAGGTGAGGATGACGATCCGGGGATCATCAGACGTGGCCTGGAGGAGTGGAAGGAGTTTCTTGATAAGCAGCGCGTGACCGAGGTGGTTTGTTCCGAATTGAATTTCGTAGCCGTCGGTTGTTTGACCTGGTGGGACGGCCATTATGCCGGCGTTGCACATTAGGATGTCTAGTTTTGGGGGTGGGGATTGCGAGAGGAAGGCTTCGGCAGACTGATTTATTGAGGCGAGGGAGGTAAGGTCGCATTTTATAAATGATATTTGGACTTGCGGGTTTGTGGATTGGATTTGGCTTATTGTTTCTGAGGCTCGGGTTTCGTTGCGGCCGCTTATATAGATGTGGGATGGGTTGTGTTTTGCTAGGTGGATTGCTGAGCTTGCGCCTAGGCCCTTTGTTCCTGTAGTGTTGGGGTTAGGATTGGGATTGAGGTGGGAGGATGTGAAGAGTGGGATTCACCTCCTGTTATGAATATTGATTTGCCAGTTAGGTCTGGGACATCTTTTTCTGGGTTGTAATCGAATGGCATAGTTGAGGTATGAATTAGGGCTAAGTTACGATAGAGGTTCCTGGTGCAGATGGGTCAAAGGAATTTGTAGAACGAGTTTTGATTGAAAGTTGCGCTTGAGAGGAGTGTCAAAATGAGATTCTATGCGGAATTCTCGCCTGATTTATTGCCAAACACGAGTGAAGCCCGGAATTGGAGTCTGACCGAATGCCACTTGGGAAGTAAGGAAAGGCTTGGTCTCCACATGCCTGCATCGGCCAATAAGAGCTCGTAGTTTCCAAGCCCTCCAACAATATGCCCGCGCTCTGCGCCTCAGCTGCTTCCATGCTTTCCTCGCTAAGTCGGTCCGATATCTTACCGAAACACAGGCTCCAATATTTGGTTTCAGTTCCCCCGGCTCCGAACAATCATGGCCAACATGTATCTGGTTGAGACCGGTGGCGTCGCTGTGCGAGTCACGCCCACTCCAGAAATTGACAAGTTACATTTACAGAGTCGAACAAGATCAAAACTAAAAAGATTGATGCAAATGCTGAATTGATATGCAACTATAGACATGCATAAATAGCGGATTCACAATCAAATGCTATGAAATCAACAATCCAACCCAAATCGACCCATTATGTACACCATAGAAAAACAAATTTACCGACCACTGCGACGAATTTCAATCGGACGCAGAATGCAATATGACACAAAAGCGAAAGCAAAGCCCAACTCGAAACCGACATCACCGCCGAATGCGGGGTCACCGGCGTGGTGGGCAATAGGTCCAATCCACCATGTTTGGCTCATACCAGTGACGACACCTGCGATACCGCAGCAGAATGCGATAGAGGCTGCGATACCGAGAGGCAGCTTGTCAGGCTTGTCGTAATCCTCTGGGCGGTAGCCGCCAAATCCACGGCGGAAGATGAAGTGGTCGGCGATGGCAATGGCGGAGTAGATGGCCAGCCAGTAGGCGATTAGGTTCATGAAGTTTGTAAGGACGGTCTCGAAGTGGGAGTATCCGGGGATGGCGATGGCGAGGGAGACACACGAGGCCAGGAAAGTCCAGATGAATCGGGGCACGCGCTGGGTGTACCTGTGCAGGACTTGGAGGGTCAAGGAAACAGAGTAGATGTTCGGACAGTTATTGGCGATGATGGACAGGGCCAGGATGACGAGACAGAACTTGCCGAAGCCACCGAGGGGCTCTAGCACAGCTGCGAGCAAACCACCGTTGACCGAAGCAGTATAACCCGCAGCATATTTGTTGTCCCCGCCGTTGATTTTAGTGGCAGTCATCACGGCAATACCCAAGAACTGGGTGAAGACCAGAGGGACGATAAGACCGAGCCAGGCAGAGAAAAAGACCAGACGGCGGCTCTGGGTCTTAGGCTGGTATACGGTGTAGTCGGCAGCGTAACTGGTCCAGCCAGTTGCGAAGCCGTAGACTGTAGATCCAAAAGACAGACAGGAACCCATTTCAGAGATTCCGACGCCCATGGGGATGTTGACGAAGTCACCCGAATGAGCAAAACAACCGAGCACAATGAAGAACACAATGCAGGTTGGGATCCAGCTCCAGTATTCATAGATGTGAACGATCTTGTACCCAGCAAAGGTGATGAAAAGAGTGCAGAAGGTGATGATAAGAATACCGGCGTATCCAGGCACGGCGGCGTTGACCGCGTTGAGAAGCTGAGCACCGACGATGGCATTGGCAGCGGACCATCCGATACAGGCAATCACGTTGAGGATGGCAACTAAAATATAGCAATCAGCACCGCCTCTCCCAAGCTCTTTCCGTATCCGGACAACTTACTGAATTTCACAGCCCACCATCCAAACCAGAATCTGGAGAGCACCATCTGGCGCAGTCCAAAGACTGGGCCAAAGCATGAGAAGAAGCACACAGTCATCACACCGAGGAGGTTGAAGAAGAGGCACACCAGAATGGCGTCGACAAAGCCGAGCTCAAATATAGACTGTCCAAGCACACCAATGGCGAAGGAGCTGACAACCATGTTTGCGGCCAACCACTAGTTTTGGTCAGTGGGAGGGGCCGTGGGCCAAGGCTATCACGCCGGGTAATCGCAGGAACACACCATGCTGCCAATGTTTAGATACGACGTATCATTCCGTTCGCTATCCGGTACTCGCTCCACGCCACGCTGCTCGATATTGAACCTGCCGGCGATGCGCTGAATCTTGGCGTAGGTCGAGTTACCGTATTCGAAGCTCTCACCGGGCACAGCGCCGTCGCTGGAGTTGTCGAACGTGTCATTGTTGCTGTTGGTCTCAAAGGCATTGTTGACCTGAGGAGCCTTTTCGAGATCCTCGTCGGAGCTGCGGAACGCTTTTGAGAGTTTGGGAAGCATTGTGAGTTTCCGCACCAGTAAAGGAGAAGAAGGGAAATGTAGGAAGGGATAAGAGGATAGACCGAAGAGCGGGTAGGCTCAGCGAGACCCGAAATCAGGATGAAGAAAAGACAGAAAGACAGTGTCACATCTTTTTCATTTTCTTTTTTGTCTCCACCGCGAGGGACAAGCAGTACATATAGTGTCGCGAGAATTCTGTTGCGCGTTGGGCCCCACAGTGGCAAAGATAGCCCTGTCGCGTGGGCAAAAATTCCATAAATTCCAGAACCAAGCAAATGACAAGCCTCGGGGCTCCTCTCCTGGGCGTCTTTCGCCAATGAGAATTCCGTCAGGGGCACTAGCTTATCAGCTGCCCGAGGGTTTCGTTCGCTTGCTTTCACACTGGCCGCAGATTGGCCGAAGTGGAGAAGTTTCAATGCAGTTCGGACCCCGTCGGAACATCACTGAATGATAAGAACAGACTGCTATCGATGACTGTTAGCTTCACATTCAACCATTCAGGGTATCTCTCTCCGTGCATATTCCCGGGTTCTAACCTACCTAGGCAGGCAGTGCCTGTCCTACCTATCCTGCTTATCTTGTGCAGGGACCACCCGGACTATCACTGACTGTCATTGGCGTACAAACCCCTGTGTGACCGTCTAATCCAACCATAATCATGACCAGATCAAGCTTTTGTTCTGCGTGTCAGACGGGGTACGCCGAACTGCGCGAAGCTTGATAGTGCTGGCAATGCTTGTATCGCCTTGGCACGTGCCGTCTTTTGAAGCCATCCCCCTATTCATGGGGAGTCTCCACGCGGTCGCTTACCCCGGAAAGGATAGAAGGGACATCATATGCATCCGAATCGTTCATTCTGAACACAATCGCAAGGCTAAATTGCCGGCTGCTGAGGTAGTTAGAGTAGGGAAGAGAGCCAAGTGTTCCCGATGAAGAAGGTTCAGGCGGATGACTGGTGATAACTCATCCTTGTTACATGAACGTCGTACGTCAACTTAGGATTCGGAGATATCTTTTGCCTCAAAAATGGAGAGACGGAGATCACCGTACTTGACCTTATTGGTAGATCGACATCACCCCAGACCCGCAATCGTGGGAGGTTTATGCTTGACCCTACATCTACATCTATACAGCTGCCTCTGCGTAGATCGTAAGCCGTCTATTGGTTCTCTCTTACATCAGCTCGATCGCCCCCTAGCGAACATCACCAAACGACATTGTCTTCTCTCTTGCATATGCCTCCACTCTTGTCGAACAGTGGCTCGGCACCCTCCGAGATGTCGGGGGATTGCTATCTCTGGATTTGAGTTCAAGATCTCTCAGATGTCGGATCTCTCGGATATTTTCGGTCCAACAGCAAGCGCGCTTAGGTTATGCATTGCTTTACCCCTTTAGGGTATCATAGACTACGCCCTGGGGCTATCCGCCTTCTCCATCTGCGTAGAGGTCCACATACCACGTGGTGAGGGGCCTGGGGAGTCCACTGGATATTCCTGCTCTCTTGTTCATTTCCTTTCACTCCAACATCATGGATATCCCACTTTACACCCCATGAAGACATACTACCAACCCGAACTTTCACAACAATTACTAACAAAGACCACTCTCGGTATACAAGTCCAGGTTAAATGTCAAAATGGAATCTTGTCATCAATCGAACCGAAGCCAAAGTCAGGCCCTCACCAGAATATGGAGAGTAATTTCAACGCAAATCCGGCGGCAACACTCGGCTCTTTGGTGCATCTTCGCGGCCAGGCGTAATACAATCTGCGTGCTTTCCAAGAGCTTGTAAACGGTGGAGACAACAATCCAGGGTCGAGCAATCCCAACCATGTATTTTGGTTCTCCTTGTCGTGTTCGCCTGGGAACCGCACAGGATGAACCCCTGGTACCTCTCATGGGGCCATAACTTGCTTTGGAGAGCGAGAGCTACTCATGATAAGATATCAACGCCCTTGAGGCATACTGTTCATTCTCTATACAACCTCCCTCCTCAAACAGTCACACAAATTACCCCGGAAAGGTCTTGGCAGACAGACTTCGGGAGAAACCAGACCGAGGGAGGCAGAAGAAGCTTCAAGCCCAGATACAAGGATGTCTTGTGACTGAATACCCTGGACACATTTATCCCACCAATTATACAGTATCCCGAGTCGAAGAGAAGCCTGACTGTCCCAGTATGGGTATGATTCTCATTCAGGCTGGAACAAATGTGAACAACCCCAGGTACCTTCCCCGCTTCCCCTCCTTTTGAAGGGAAAGCTATATCTTAATTAACATGGGGAACCGGGGCTGTGTTTTGCCTTATAACTGGTCGTCTTTACTTCTAAGTTCGCAAGGATACACATTGAGCCAACAACCAGAACCAAGCACCTCAATATAGAAAAATCTTCAACGCACTTTGTCATCATGGGAGACATCGTATCACCCACAAAGAAGCGGTACGCCCTGGTAGGCACCGGAGGAAGAGCAGGGCTCTTCTACACGACCATTGCGAAGGACTATAGCAAGACAAGTGTCCTAGTAGCACTTTGCGATACCAACCAAACCCGATTAAACTATGCAAAGTCCAAAATCGAAGCCCTAGGCCACGAGCCAGTCCCAACCTACCTAGCCGCAGATTTCGACAAAATGATCAAAGAAACAAAGCCAGACGAAGTGATCGTCACAACAATCGACCGAACCCACCACACCTACATCGTCCGCGCGATGGAGCTCGGCTGCAACGTGATAACCGAAAAACCAATGACAATCGATGTCCCCCAATGCAAAGAAATTCTCTCCGCAGTCGACCGCACCAACCAGCGAGTTAGAGTAACATTCAACTACCGCTACGCACCGCACAACACGAAGATCTTCGAGATAATCCGCTCAGGAGCAATTGGAACAGTGACAAGCATCCACTTCGAATGGATGCTTAATACATCCCACGGCGCGGACTATTTCCGGCGCTGGCATCGCGATGCTCGGAATAGTGGGGGTCTTCTTGTTCACAAGTCGACACATCATTTCGATCTGATCAATTTCTGGTTGCAGTCTCGACCGAAGACTGTCTATGCTCAAGGCGATCTCAAGTTCTATGGCAAGAAGAATGCTGAGGATCGGGGTGTGACACAGTTCTACTCGAGGGCTCATGGCAGTGATGTGGCTAAGGATGACCTATTTGCTCTCCATCTCGACCAGAATCAGCAGCTTAAAGCTCTCTACCTGGATGCCGAGCATGAAGATGGATATTTCCGTGATCAGAGCGTCTTTGGTGATGGCATCAGTATTGAAGATACGATGAATGTGCTTGTTAGGTATGAAAATAATGCCGTCTTGACGTATTCACTCACGGCATATGCGCCGTGGGAGGGCTTCCGCGTGAGCTTCAATGGAACAGGTGGTAGATTGGAGGCGGAGATTGTTGAGAGCAGTTACGTGAACTCTGGCGGAGAACAAGCTAAGGAAGGTGCTGCTGAAAGCATCACGCTCTTGTTGCGGCCGCTGTTCCAAGAACCGCGGAAGGTTGAGATTGTGCAAGGGGCGGGTGGCCATGGTGGTGGTGATAATGTTTTGCTGCGTGATCTGTTTGGGGATGTTGAGCCTGATGAGTATATGAGGGCTGCTAGCCATATTGATGGGGCTGCCTCTATTCTGACGGGTGTTGCTGCTAATCGGTCTATTCGAACTGGACAGGTTGTTACTGTTAGTGATATTCTTAGTCTGCCTTGAAATAGGTAGGTTGGTTTTTTTGGATAGATACATGGATGGATATCCAAATTGATCACATAGAATAGTTGAAATTGAACAAATCCCACATGACGAAGCGTCCAAGTTTGAGATATCAAATAAAGCTGTACATTATCACACTCGATTGTTTCACTTTTTGGCAGACCAATCTACAAGGTTCCTCCACAACCCCGCAATGCAGGGTTGATCGACTGATCCGGGTAAATCGGGGTAAAGCCAAGCGAGAAAAGACGGGGAAAATACGGGGAAACCCTCTCCCCGCTTGAAAACAGCCTCAACGAAATTGCGGGGGAAGTGCCAAGAACTGTGAACTCACGTATCAAGCTCAAGTCTTGAGTACATAGCAAGGGATGATACAGTCTTCCCATCGCATGGAAAAGAATGTCTCACATTCTGAGCTCGCCCCGTCTCACAATGGCCAGACCATCCATGCCATTTACAACATTCCACCGCATGATAAACCCCAGCAGCTTCCAAGATATGGCTGTTTCTCCATCACATACGGGCAAGCTCATCCTTGACCCACCGGTGATAGGTGCAAAAACTGCATTAAACGCTAACCTTGTACCGCCACGTCTTTAGCTTGGCATCGGTGGTGCATCGATCTAACAACTCACTTTCCCAATTCCTCAATCTAATAGCCCAGTAGCAAGGGGGAAGAGCTAAGTTCCAAGAAAAACGGAAGATACAAAGTAGCCAAGGCTTCCTTGGCCATCCATTATTCAAATAGCTTGTATTTCCCGTGCTCCCCAACCCCTGTAGCAATCTGCCCACCATGACTACTTCCACACAGGACGAGATTTCCCCAGTACAGAATCAGGAGCAGAACCACCGCCCTACACGAGCAACGCGCTCAAAGGCTGTTGAGTTTCTGGAAAAACATGCTAACGAGGAGACTTCCTTTACGTATGAGGAGGAGAAGGCTGTTCTCCGCCGCATTGATAAGCGTGTCCTGCTTCTCCTCCTATGGGCATATTTCTTTCAACAACTGGACAAAAGCACTCTGGGGTATCGAAAAGCCACTCATGATTTGTGTGAGCTACCAATAGCTAACCGTTATACGCTCAAACCTCCAGTTATGTCTCTATCTTCGGCATCTCCGAGGATGCCCACCTAGTCGGCAAGCAATACTCCTGGCTCGGATCAATCCTATACCTCGCCCAGCTAGTAATGCAACCGCTCGTGGCCCTGATTCTCGTCAAACTCCCAAGCGGAAAAGTTCTCGCCAGCGCCATTTTCCTCTGGGGCTCAGCACTGACAATCATGGCGGCCTGCACAAACTTCCCATCTCTGTTAGGACTGCGCTTCGTCCTCGGATCATTCGAATCCTTCATTGCCCCATGCTGTGTCGCTATAACACAGATGTGGTGGCGTCGAAGTGAACAAACACTGCGCACAAGTTACTGGAGTGCCATGAACGGCGTCACGTCAGTCATTGGCAGTCTCGTTACTTACGGCCTTGGACATGTCCATAGTCATACCCTTTACCGATACCAGACTATCTTCATGTTTTGTGGATTGTTGACGGTCGTTTATTCGTTCCTTGTTTTCTGGCTTATGCCTGATTCGCCTATGGAAGCTAAGTGCCTGAGTGACCGAGAGAGGGTTATTGCTACAGAACGGTTGCGCGCGAATCAGATGGGTATTTCTACTCAGGAATGGCGGTGGGACCATGTGAGAGAGGTGGCCCTTGATCTCAAGACTTGGATCTGGTTTATTGCTACGATTGCTATCTCGATTGCAAGTGGTGGAATCTCGACGTTCGGTTCCCTTATTGTCAAGTCGTTCGGATTTACCAGCTTCCAGAGCATATTATTCAACATTCCTTTCGGTGTAATTCAGGTTCTCGCTATCCTGATTACCGGATGGCTAGCCACCTTGACTCAACGCAAAGGCCTCGTGATCGCGGGGGTTAGCGTCTTGCCCACTATCGGAGCGATCTTGATGCTCACAATCCCGCGGAAACAGAAGGGCGTCCTGCTATTTGGTTACTATCTGGTAAGCCCTAATCGGTCCCATCAGCCTCCAACATATGAAGACCTGTCCCTAACAAGACTAAAAAAGGTTTCCACAATGTCCTCTATCACGCCACTGCTATATGCATGGTCAGCACAGAACACCGCAGGTGAAACCAAAAAGAAATGTACTTCCGGCATGGTATTCATCGCCATGTGTGCTGGAAATGTGATCGGACCGCTCCTCTACTCTACCGAAGATGCCCCATTATACCGAACAGGTCTCATCGCCAACCTCGCCATGTTTGTGACAGTAGGAGCTGTCTGCGGGTATATTATTACGGCCCTATTCATATTCAAGTATACCGTTTGCTGATTCTGTTTATAGGCTCACACCGTTCTACCTTATGATCCTTAACAAGAAGCATGAAAAGCGTCGTCTGGAACTTGGGAAGACAGGGCCTGTAGCTGACATGTCTATGCTTGGTAAAGATCAATTAAAAAACAGCAAGGCGGTCGAAGTGGAGGATATTCGGGATCAGAAGCTCTCCGTGGAAGAGGATAATGGTCTTCATGATATGACGGATCTGAAGAATGAGGACTTTGTCTATGTTTACTAGGAACCGGTTTGGACGGAAATTTAGTTATTCATCGATATATAGCCTGTGTAGCTTTATATTGCGATAACAATTATACAACAAGGGTCATACTTGCGTCTACAGTGCCAATGATAAAGTATTAAACTGACTCCACACGAAATCCAGCCTCGAGGCGTGTGCACTGTTTCATGCATTGTTCTCGCTCTACATTGGGCTTTCTTTTTACACCCCTTTTTCGTCTTGAGTGCCTCGAAGAGTAGTTATTTAAAAATGGGGGTGTGAAAGGACTTACGGCATGTGACAGTATTCATATTTTCTCTATGCCTAGGGTCTTTACCTTTCAAGTTAAATGACCTGAGGTGTTTCTTCCAGGTATATCAGCGACGGAATTCCAACTCACATATGGGCACATTTGTACCGGGACAAGTTTGGAAATCATTCTAGGTAAGAGTTTCAATTGCTTTGGCTAATAATACAGGTCAGCTCGCGATCCTCCCCCAAAGAGTATTTCGAGTGTTCTCTCAGTCCCTTCTCATGAATCCCGCGCTCTCTTTCTTCCTCGTTCCCCCTCCGCTGAGGATGGGGTCAGGCTCGGCAGATCCTCTGGGGTCCAGTTTTGATTGTTCGGATCGTTCGAGTCCATCTCATCTTCGATGCTATCACGAACCACGTCCGATGGGTTCTCCTGCTTCACCTCAGGTTCCTTCTCTTCTTCTGATGTATCATCAAAGGCTTCCCAATTTGGGAACTCCGCTGCGCCACTTAGAGCCAGAACCCGAGTCAAACACCATTGCAGCTCGAGAAGTGCCATGGATGGCAATGGATTGTTCTTAGGGTCCTGTGTAGTAACCGTGATAATGTCTCCCGAGCAAACCTCTGTGTTTGTTTCGTAGTTCCACAATTTTGCTCTGTTGGGGGCACCGCTGAGATTTGATGGGTAGACTGTCGGGTCCATCAATCTAAGTCTCGGGTTGTGCACAACTGGAAGCCAAAAGAATCGCAGCGTCATCTTCTTTTCATCCTCGGATACTGGCAATCGTCTTTGCATTGGGTCTCGATCTATCACTCGCGGAACTCAAATCGGTATCATTAATCACCCAGCCGATTGTCACAGCGTGTGCTTTGGTCAATGATGTGTATAGTTTAGACCGGGACGTTCAATTCAGCGGATCAAAGCGGTCATATGAAAAACAGTGTGTAGAACTTGATGAAAGAGCTCAGTCTCACAGTGCAACGGGCCAAAGAACTGCCGGTCAGTTAGAAGATTCTTCCCTTGGAGCAAGAGATTTTCGAGAAACCGCCTATGTACTTGATTTCTGCTGCCACTTCTTGACCGTTCATTGGCCCTTTGTTGACACTATTGCTGACTATTTGTTTACCGTTTGTCGTGGACCGTTTCCATAGGGGTCCTTCTAATATGGCCCAATTTTTATGTCAAAACTGGGTTGAAATGGGTTAACTAGGGCCCCAATTAACGCCCAGCATGGGTTCTGGGTTGGGCCCGGGTTAGGGGAGTTCGACCCGGATCCAAGCTGAGTTGGGTTCTGGGTCGAGACCTTCGACCCAAAATGGGTTATGTGGAAGTCTAGATGGTACATAGGTTTGTAAGTTTAGGCTGGAGGTGTTTGGGTTGTCTGGACCGCTGTGCCCATTGCGTTCGGCCTACGAAGACCAGACACCAAATCATTCTCACACCGCATTATCAAAGCATGCACGGGCACCTCGGCTTATTCCAGTAATCGTGCAATGTCTTTCGGCTGACATGCAATCATCCCTAAATGTAGAGACATTCGTGTTGACTAATGCAATCGTAAAAAAATTGCAGTTCCTTGACACTCGATCACTTAGAGCCCTGCTCCTTGCTAATTAGCCAATGTGCTGGATAGCAATGTGTCGTGTTTGGACTCGTCGACCCTTACTTCAACGGGTAGCCTTTACTTTCCCATTCACTACTCACTACAGATCTACCCAAAGGCACTATAGGGTTCTCGCAGAGAACGTCGAGAAAAGCAGTTCGCATGATTATCATTTTTACAATACTTCCCCCACCCCCATTAACCTTTCGCCCGATGGCCAGTTCGGCCCGGTCCCCGTAGTGGGGCCTCCTTTTCGTTAGCCCAACCATGTCGTCTCTCTACGCGCCAGGATTAAGTTCCTAATTTAGTCCGAACGTACGTGTCACATCCTTTAAGTGCTACGACTCCTGACTTCATTGGTTTTAGTGGAAGAAAAATCTCTAAAAACGGATGCAACCTGGGAATCTCCTGCTCACTCAGCCAAATTAAACTAAAACATAATAAGCAAACCTCGAACGATGGATGTTTATGAAGCTGCGAAGCAAGGCAACATTGACGGTATAGAGTCTGCGGTTGAGAAAGGGTGCGATGTCAATGCCCTGGACAAATATGGGAAACCCCCTCTCTGGTTTGCCGTACAGAACGGCCATTCTGATGCATGCAGGATTCTGCTTGCCCGAGGAGCTTGCGTGGAAGGGCAAGGACCTAGCATTCTCGAGCTCGCAGTTCAAGGAGAGCACACCGAGATTGTCGAACTGCTGTGTCGCCACTGCAAAGTGGAAAGACAACATCGCTGCTTAGAAACCGCTATCTCACTCGGGTTTCATGGAATCGCAGATTTCTTGGTCGGAACCCAAATATTCGAGTATCAGCAATCCCAAGCCAGTGATATAGAACTGCTCAAAAAAGACGGATTCTCAAGACGGGAAACTACAGCTTTTCAGCAATGGGAGAGATTTATCTTTGTTCGGCGCTCGGAGAAGCTCAATTTGCATCGTATCTTTTTTGACTACGCACTTCTTCTCGCAACGAAGGCCGATCGCAATGCCGGACTTCGACTAGTGAATTTATTGCTTGGGGGGGAGAAACCTATGGCCGACGCAAATTGCATGATCTACATCGACGAGGAAATTGAGACGCCCTTGACTAATGCGGCTGAGAAAGGCAACTTGGAAATACTGGCTACTTTGATCGAGCACCCTAATATAAGCTTGACGATATGTGGCAAATATAACTGGCCTGCTTTTCTCCATCTGCTGGCGAGTTCCGAGTCCCTCGCCTCTGAAAAGGGCCGGGCCATAGCCCAGATATTGTCCAAGGAGAGTCAGCCCGGTTCATTCCTGATTGATAGCAAGGAAGCTCGTCTGGAAACTGTATTCAAAAATGTCCTTCGGCTGGGCGACGATGCTCTCATGAAGCAGGTCATCGACCTTGTTCACGGTGCTGCAGGGATTTACATTCTGCCGCTATTGATCAGAGCGAATGAGACCAATGGTCTGAGATGGATTTTGAATGATGACATCGCGCATGCATCCAAACCGCCACCAATACTTTGGGTGTTGCTTTGCAACTTTTTCCAATGTAATCCAAGCTCCGAGGCTCTGGAAACTTTTATTCAAGTGGCGGTATTTCTGGTAGAAAAGGCAATTTGGAACCGGATGATACTGGTGTGCCTCAATTCACGCAACTTTTGCTTTGCCAAGCAATTCTTCTACCCTCTCAACGAGATCCTACCGAGGGAAGTGGCGGAAGAAACATTGGCGGGATTTTCTCAGGCGGCCACAGATCAATCCCTCGTAAGGGAGTGGGCTGACAAAGGCTTTGCTAACGCAGCACTGTGGAGCGCCATTCGATCCGGGATATGGAAGACTCCGGCATTTGAAAGCCTCCTTTCATGTCCTAATATTGACCCGGACGAGCCATTTCCACGTGAAAGGAGCTCAGACACAGCAGAAGCTAATAAACTTTCATCTTTGTCCGGCAACTCAACGGGTGAAAAACGAAAATTCCCTTTCAGACCACCCACGGGAAATTCCCTAAGATTGCCTCTCGACCCCGGTTCGCCGCAGAGCCATGCCCTCCCAGACTATCAAATGCAACTCATGTTACTGGCGCAAGAGAACAAGAGGCGATTAATGATGGCAAGAAACGAGCAAATGGAAATGACAACGGGAAAAGGCATTCTGGCTTGGACAGGGGGGAAAAGCCCTCTGGCTTGGGCCGCGGCAACTGGTAATGTTGAGCTTGTGGAAGCTCTTCTGCGCAGTTCGCGCGTCAATGTCAACTCACAGGACGCCCAGAAACGAACCCCTCTCATGCACGCTATTGCCGTCAATGATTGGCAGACTGTGGAGGAACTGTTAAAAATTGAAGACATTGATCTTAATTTGTGGGATGCTGAAGGTAGAACCGCTGTTTTTCACGCCGCACAGGGGGGAGACTTGCGTATCATACAACTGCTCACCGAGACCCAAAAGGTGGACTTTTCTATTCGTGATTGCAACGGCGAAAGTGTCCAGGATATTGCTAAAAAGAAGGGAAACCAAGATGTCGTGGCTGCACTTGCGGCTTAAGGGTTCACAGGCGTGCTCGACGTTATCAATGTGATACTTTGTATCACTTCAGTTGCCGCCTAAGTAAACCAAATTTGTGTCTATAGGTCTTCAAATCCTTTAGACCACTTAGAATGCTCTATCCCACAGGGGTGCGTGGAGTCTGGCAGACTCTAGGTTAGGGGTTTCCCTATCCCATGGGGGGTTTAAGCATCGCACACCGATGCCCATCTTTGGGGTTCCTTTAGTATAGGGAAGAAAAGTGGGTCGGGGGTGCGATGCCCATTCCGTTTCGAGGTAGAGTGCTCATAGATATACTACCTAGAAAAATCACAAATTTTTGCTAGTTAAAGAGAACACGTCTCTTGATACCCGATTTATATTTAAACCTAATCTGGTTGTAGGGTCTAAAGTGCTTAGGTTTTTTTTAATAGTATAATCCACATGAACTTTTGAAGTACGAAAAGTTGCTTTCTTCTTCGCTCTTCACGCTTTGGGGGGATGTCTTTTTACGCCAACGTTTCCAAGCTCTGGAAGTGTCACCCATCGGAACGGAAAATGGTAGAGAGTCTTCACAGAGGGATTGTAGGACGGAATAGTATCCAGCTAAGCTGGCAATGAACCCGAATGCACCAGCAGCGGTGATAAGATTCGCACTGGTTTCAACCAACCCGTCGCCCAACCTAAAGCTTGATGCAGCATCGAGAATGAGACACAGCTCAAGTCCGAGGAGGGAATCAAAATTACACCGTAACCGCCATAAAATAATGCTTAACGATGAGATTCCAGCCAGTCTATTCTCATCTGGCCCATCCTTGACACCTTCAGCCATGGCCAACTCAATTAACGGCTTATCGGGGGAGGAGAAGGGNGGGGGGGGGGACAAGGGCAAATGATTCGTCCCCGTCCCATTCTGCAAAAACAGCCGGTGGTTCAGTGAGTGACACAGGGCTTGAAATGGCCCCGGCGCAAATACCGAACGCCCCGGCCACGACGTTGACAATGTTTGCGAACTCGTTATAAGGGAGCAGATTAGGTTTGTCTGTCATCTCCTGCACTGGCATCTCTTGCATAGTGGTTGGCTTCTTCAACCCGCCTAGAAGCTTCTTAAAGTCACCGGGTTTGAACATTGGAGGGGATGTCCCGTTGTTCTTGATCAGCTTCCAAATAATTGTAGTGGGAATGGCCACCAGAAAGGAAATGGCGTCGAGGACGGTGAGATCATGGCCTCCAGAGATAAACTGTTTATAAACAGCAGTAATCACCGGAATTGTAATAGTTTTGTTTATAACTTCCTTGAATTTGGTCGCAAGCTTGGCTCCTCCATCTAGGACGAAGCCCGCCATTTTTTTGAGGGCTGCGATGATGCTGGTCAGGAGTTGGCCTGTGATTTGGGCCATTGCATCTTTCGTTTTGACTCTGCGCTTTTGTTGCTGATATCCCTTGGCGAAATTTGATCCTTTATCGCCCACAGTCTTCTCAAAGCTGGTTCGGATTGATAGAGCCTCTGTCTCCCACTGCTCTGCTGTTAATCCTACACTGGATCCGTCTTCCTCGCTCAGGTTATGGATAACTGAGGCGCTCCCGGCGCCTCCATGGGCAAACTAGCAGATTGTCATTCTTCTTTTGCTGCCATCTGCAAGGTAACGGTGGTCATACCTGATACATAACCCAATTTGCCTTTACCGATCGCACGGGCGCACCTTTGGACGACTCTTTCGCGGCAGTAGAATCATTCGCCGTTGCGTTGTTATTGTTCAGTTGGCTCTCATTAGGGCGATGCTTATTCAGCTGGTTTTGCATATTTTGAAAAAAACCGTTTACTCTGTTCTTCAGGTCAGTGATTTTGAAAGAAAAAAAAAAAAAAACCATCTGAGTTCACTTACCCAGAACATGGTTTTGATGCTGCTTGGTGCTATCGTATTAGTGTGTAGATTGAAGGAACCCACAGAGCGCAGCTGGGCAGCAGGAAAAAGAGATTGAAAACCGCCCATACTAGAGAGAAATGTCAGAGAAAGGACGTATGACACGAACAAAACACGCTACTTACTTAAAACAAAGAATCCGAGCGCGTTGTGATATTCCGCGGTGTAACCGCCATACGTATCAGCGATGCCATGGAGTGAATCCAGAATCAAGTATTCTGCCCTTGAACTTATCATAATCAAAACCAGCTCCACAGCTTTGCTGTCCATATGATTATGGGCTTCAAATACCACTATGCTCACTTGCGTATTGGCTTTCTCTTCCACAAGCATTTTTTCTAATGAAGCGTTAGAAGCAAAATCAGAAGAAAGTAAAACTCGGGGAGTTTCTGGGTCAGCTCGGGCTCCGGTCTAGCTCCCGAAAAGCGCATTAAGCCCTAGTGGTAAGCCCGGGGAACACGGGAGCCAAAGAATGTTAACGGAATGCAACAATAACAGCCATCGCCGGGATAATTAATTCTTTACGGAAGGATACAAAAGAGCACAATGCTATTCTGATTCAGCGCCAGCAAAATTCTCTTTCTCTGCCCAACAACCCAAGCTACCATTGAGCTTCCGAAAAACATCATGGACAATCTCATCGCTCCCTTGGGGGCCTTTTCCCACCTTGACGAGGCAAACAGACTCCGCCTTCAAGATGGTTTGCACGAAGCAGCCGAGGCTCTTGAGACCCCTTATGACATGATGGTTCGCTTGCTGAACGCGGTTAGTTACTCTGTACCCTGCACGAGATTGTCGAGATTGTTTAGTGAAGGCATTTTAGCTAATTCCGGATAACAGGGAAGGCAAACGGCCATGCTTAAGATCGGATACGATTTGGAGATCTTCACAACCCTCGCAAGCCGTGCAGAGCCATTTTCAGTGGACGAGCTAGCGTCAAGCAAAAGCGCTGACCCCCTTCTTATGTCCCGAGTGCTACGTTTTCTTGCCGCCAACCGTTTCATCACTGAAACCGATAAGAATATGTTTACTGGGAATAAGTCCACCAAGGGACTCTCAGACCCTCGAATCCAGGGCGGGTTACTTCACGCGTAAGTCACCATCACCGATCTCCTCATTTCATGATAAAATGTACCTTCCAAAGAGGCCGCTTAGCTAAATATTTAAACTTGACCGAGCGGCAGTTTCCACATCAGTGTCCCAGCTTATCAGGCCCTGCCAGAATATCTGCAGGAAAACAAGTACCAGAACACCACTGGAGGACAATGTGCCTGGCACAAGTCAGCTAATACCGATCTGGAATTCTTCCCATGGGCAAAACAAAACCCCCAGATCCTAAAATACTTCCAGCAGCTTATGAGTATTCCTCGGGATGGCAGCTGGCTCGACGTCATGCCGTTTGAGGACGAGGCCAATGATGCCACTGACCGGAAAGTGTTTGTTGATATCGGCGGCAACATCGGTCACCAGTGCGCGCGCCTACTTGCTAAACACCCAAGTTTGGCTGGTCGAGTCGTCTTGCAGGATCTTGAGGAGACCATTCGACGTGCACCAGAGGTTAATGGTGTAGATTTTATGGTGCATGACTTCTTTACGAAGCAACCAGTGAAAGGTAAAGCCTACATTTCTCTTTTTATGAAAGTTTATTACCGTTTGCTGAACATCTTCAGGTGCCAAATTTTACTACCTGCGCGCGATTCTCCATGACTGGGAGGATGATAAGTCAGTGGAAATTCTGAAACAGATTATTCCAGCCATGTCGGAGGACTCCCAGATCTTGATCGATGATCTGGCTCTTCCAAACACTGGTGTTCACTGGTGGAGTACCTGTATCGATATGCAGATGTATATCATGCATGGAGCGATGGAGAGAACTGTTGACCAGTGGTATGCGCTTTTGGACAAGGCGGGCTTGAAGGTGAAGGAAATCAAGACCTACAGTCCTGTGATGCGGAACTCGGTTATTGTGGCCGTCCCGAAATAATAGTAGCATTTACTAGAAGTTTCATGTTCATCAATCCAATTTTCTTTCATCTCTCAATAGGTAATGAGCATAACAAGTACTTCGTACCATTATTACCTTTCCAATTTGCTGAAAAGCGGAAACCCGGATCAACCTTAATTGGCGGCGGAGAGGAAGAAAAGGTATGCTAACCTATGGCGTAATATCTCGGAGTATTCTTCCTGCAAAACTTCACAACCTCTCGTGTCGCGGCTCGATCGATCTCCTAGCTCAACGGGCATGAAATCATTTCTGTGACCAATCAGCATCATATCTTTAGCTCCAATGATTGCCCGTTGTGTTTTGACGCTGTCGATCGATGGATTGACGATCTACTGGGATATTATGAGCCTACCAGGCTGCTGATTACGTCGTTTCCTCAAAGATTTGTTCATCTTCCTCTATATATTCCCACCTCGCCCTATCTGGAGCCATATAGAATCAGCCCCGTCCCAGGTGACTACTTAGATAGACAGTGTTCCTTTAGTAGTTCCTCTCTCTCTCTTCTTTCTCGCCAGGAATCGACTACGCTTCAAATACATTGGATCTACGCAGCAGTCTCTATAATCACGGACCCTCCTCTTGACCATGCCCAACGGATCAGGCTTTTCCTTGCATTATGGCAACAGCTCAAGCCGCACGAAGACCGATAGCAGACCGTAGCAGAAGCTTGAGTGGCAATACGTCCGCCATGCCGGCACCACAGCCGTTCTCATAAAGGACGCGCGACCGTGAGTTCGTAAGTGCTACTATTGACCGGCCGATTGATATGTGAGCTTGCTGGTTTACAGGCCGGCATAAAGGGATCTTTCGTTAGGACAGAGATATCCAATGCCAGGCAAGTGAAGTGAAAGATTGAGTAAATACTCCCCGTAGAGGCCAGAACAGAGGGCTAGGAAAGTGGAGTGGGAAAAAGAGAGAAGGTTTGGCCGAGGGCTAGTTCCCGTCGGCATGCACTTAGTCTTATACCTTGCCCCTCTGCGTTTGCGAGCAGTCTTAGCTCTTCAATTGTCTTCCTGCCATACTAAACGGCAGACTTCTAGCTGTTAGAGTAATTCAGACTTTTCGCCCTTCATTTCCATCTATCAAACTGTCTACAATACATTGTACAGAGCGGTGTAAAGAGCGGTCATTGTCGGGCCAGGCATCAAGGCTCCAATAGCTCCAATAGCTCCGTGATGAGAAGAACCCCGAGCGCGATACAGCTTCGTAGGGATGCAAATGTTTCCATCAGGACAATGGATTGCGGATTGCCCAATTTCCGAAGGTAACAAACAGTCTAGAGGAGGCCTTTGCTGTGAATAATCAGAAACCAAGATTCCTTCTCTTTCCTTTTCTTTTAAATTCCCTCAAATTTCGTGAGATTATTGTCAACATGGAGACTGGAAAAGCGCAAGACGGCAAAAGACCTCCAGATCTATGGCGACCCAAAATATCGCCAGTTTACGATCAAAGTATGATGTAGTGGTGGATGATTTACCCGACGACGATCTGGGGAATCCACTAGTATGAGTTGAGCTGAAACGGCCACCTATGCTCAAGCTTCATCGGTGTATGGAATCTTATAAGCCCCCGCGCCACCGTTACATTATTGGAGGTTCGCATCCAAGCCGCTTCCACCCGACGGACTTGCTTTGTTCGTTCATGAGTCATATTTTGTGATCAGTGATTTACGCGCCCTCTTCTTTCTTCTTTGTTCATGTTTGGCCCCATACGGCGCGGGTATCCACGCGAACTTGCGTCCCATTGGCCGGGAATCTTCCCAGGCCGAGCTAAGAGCAGTTGCGGCGTTATCATTGGTCTCTTCGGGGGGTTTTCCTAGTTTTCATGTGCCCGATATGGCTGGGCCACATCTCCTCGGAGTCCGTACCTGAAGTTAAGACTTAAGCAAAAGCCCCGAAGCACGCGGGGAACAACTCTCCCGTTTAGCCTCGTCGATTATCGGTTCCACTTCGGAGCCTTCCCGGCTTGCCGCCTAAACACTAGCAGGGTATTGTCCATAGAATACATGACCAGGATGAACAGATGAAACACTATTTAATCCTTCCCCCCGCCACATTTTAACCGGGTCGACTCCTCGCCTCCACCTCTGTTCTCAGTATTTTCCCGATCTTGCGTATTTACTGCTTCCTATCAGTATCTCAGCCTTTCCCATCTTACACCAACCCACATAGCAACAATGGCACCACCAGCGCCCTCCTACACCAAGGTCACTCACACTGCCACATATGCTGGCATCAATCCAACTCAGCCCGGCCTCTCCACTGCGGGCAAGGTTGTGTTGATCACTGGCGCATCTGGTGGCATCGGCCGGGCCACAGCCTCATCTTTCGCTGCATCGGGCCCCCGAGCCCTCATCCTTCTCGGTCGACGCGCCGAGGCACTGGCCGAAACCGCCGCCATTGTCCGCGGCAGCCACCCAGAGGTGACGGTCCAAACTCACGAGGCTGAGCTGTGCGATGCTTCGAGCGTCCGCGACATCATGAACAAGGTGGCTGCTGAGTTTGGCGGCATCGACATCCTGATCCACTGTGCCGGCGTCCTGGCCCCCGTTGTTCCGCTCCTGGAAGCCGATCCGGCTACTTTCCTGGACGGCTACAAGACTACCGTTGTCGGTTCGCTGGTAACGGCACAGGCCGTCGTCCTGGCAAACAAGACAGTCAGCCCCAACGAGGACAAGCCAATCACATTCATCAATCTGACCACGGCCGGCATCATTTTCCCCCCATTCCCCGGCATGGGCGCCTATGTCAGTAGTAAGATGGCCGCCGTCAAGGTCCTGCAGTCCTTCGCCGTCGAGAACCCGCAAGTGCGTCTTCACAATGTGCATCCCGGTTTCCTCGAAACAGCTATGTCTGCTAAGCTGTCAGAGTCGATTAAATTGCCATTTGCCTTTGACGAAAGTGAGTATCAACTGATCTTGTTCTTTGTGGCTAGTCCGTCTCTGTGTTCAATTAACTAATGATTACTCGTTCCCAGTCTCTCTTCCCGCCGACTTCCTCGTCTGGATTGTCTCCCCCGAAGCTGAATTCCTTAAGAACAAGATCGTCTTCTCTGCTTGGGACGTTGATGAGCTCAAGGCTCGCAAGAACGAGATTGTCGGTGGCCCGCCGGGAACTGGTGAGCTCTGGCTCGGCTACCAAGGATTCCCACGATTCATGGGTGGCCAGGCTTTGCCAGGCACCCAGTAAACGTTCGGTCCGGTATGAGAAGTCACCATCCCAGGCTGGACGGTGTACACGCGCGCGTTGATTAAGCAAGTGCATGAGCCATTCACATAGAGTGCTAGCACGAAGACCTCAATAAAAAAAGAATCTACAATTATGTTGCTGAACTAAAAGTTACTTCCAAATAATAAGGCAAAGAAGAATAAACAGTAGTCCTCATCAACTTGCAACAATAAGGGGGGAACTTTCTGAAGCTTGTTTTACATTATCGCACATCGAGGCCTCGGGCTCATCCACCGCGGGTGAGCGTTATCTTTCTATGTTCAGACCACGCTCTTAAAATATACAAAATACATGACTATGTGCTAGATATGGTCCTACATGAAAATACAACAAGACTCAGAGGAACAAGCGTTTTACCACTCCCCGAGTGAAGACGACTGCAGCGGCGACCTCAAGGGTATACGTTGTTTATATCAGCTGTAGCTGATGGATGTGCCCTTCGCTAAAACGATATGTCGAGGTTTACCGACCCACGTCCATAATCTGCGCCAGCGGAGCGATGAACCACGTCCATAAGCGAGGATGATGATCGTGGTGGTGACTTATCGTATGTTTGCCCGGGAACCAGCCATTGTCGCAGCTCGTCTCACTTTCGGTTCCCCTACGGGAATGGCAATTCAGCCTCGTGGAGTCCCGCAAATGTCGGAATCCGAGAATAGAGAGAAGCTTGTTAGCGCCGTCTTGCGCTATTCGGCAAAGGTCGGACCCCGAGAATCCCTGTTGCTGCTAGGCAGAGCCGCGCTTCTACGGATATCTAGAAAAAAACTATTATATTTAGTGTGCCAACCGTAGGTGTATTGCCAAATTATCCAGAGCCTGTCCGCTTCCATCTCTATCAGTCGATCCAGTATCATCAGATAAAAGGTCTGATATTCTCTCTCTTCTTTTTTCTTTTTTGCCTGTTGTAAACCGGCGACAATATTCGGCAGTGATTCCCTCAAGCACATCTGGCTAAGCGCCATCATGCATTGGTCTACTTTGCACCTCCTCGCAGTGACGGGGCTCGCCGCTGCTTCTGCTATACATGATCCATGCAAGGCCCTCGAGTCCAAGATCCCGGGCCGCGTCTCATACCCCGGTACAACAACCTACGATGCCTCCCTCTCATCCTACTATAGCGGCCAGGAGCGCGCCTTGAGTCCCGGTTGTATCTTTAGGCCGACCAATACTTCTGAAGTATCCCAGTTCGTCAAGTTAGTGACTTCAGCCGATTACAAGACCAATTTCGCCGTTCGGGGTGGTGGACACACCCTCTGGACTGGCGCGGCAAACATTGCTTCTGGCATCACCGTCGACATGCGCCTCATCAACCAAGTAGACTTGAGTGAGGATCGCAAAATTGCCCGCATTGGAGGTGGCGCTGTATGGGACCTCGCTTACGAGCAGCTCGTGCCGTATAACTTGACTGTTATGGGAGGCCGTATTCCCGGGATCGGAGTTGGTGGCTTCGCCAGTGGAGGTCAGTACTCGCATTGAAGGCCGTTTTGAATAACAATAGCTAATGTGTCATCAGGTGGAATTACCTTCCACGCACGCGAGCGCGGTTTTAGCTGCGACAATGTCTACGGTTACGAAGTTGTTCTCGGAAGTGGTGAAGTCATTTATGTCGACGAAGGCTCTCATCCCGACCTTTGGGTTGCTTTGAAAGGCGGCTCCAACAACTTTGGCATTATCACACGCTTTGATGTAGCTACAATTGCTCAGGGCAACATGTGGTACAGCCTCCTGAGTTACAATTATACAAACGCCACGTTGCGGGCTCACGCCAAAGCCTTCAGCGACTTTATGAAGCCAAAGAATTTCGACAGCGCAGCTATGATGGGAGTCTTCCTGGTCTATACAGGCGGTGAATTCCTTCTCTCTGATTCCATGTGGTACACAAAGGATGTTGAGAAACCCGCCGTTTACGACGCCTTCACCAAGATTCCAAACTTGGGAGGTGTGGCCGAGCTCGACACTACTGCCAACGTCGTGAAACTGTTTGGACAGAACATCCCATCTAGCGAGCAACGGTTAGCAACAATAATCAACACCCTACCATTTCATGCTCCACAAATCTAACTACTTCTCTAGTGCCTTCCAACTCACCTTTTCGTTCCATAACCCGGATCCCAATGTCTACATGGAGCTTTTCAAGATCTGGGAGAAGGGCGTGAGCAAAATCGCGAAAGTAGACAGCATATTCGTCGAGTTCTTGGTTCAGCCTCACCCCGTTACCAACGGCACCAACATGTTCGGCCTGACGCCCGGAAGGACAGACGACGTTATGATCGACATGACTGCTGGCTACGCAAACAAAGCAGATGATGCGCTAGTCCAGCGAGTCATTAATGACATTGTGAACAAGCAACGCGCACTCTTAAAGTCGAATGGGTATCTGATTGACTTCATCTACCTCAATTACGCCGACATCTCACAGAAGGTCCTCCAGAGCTGGGGTGGGGATAACATTGCTAAGCTCAGAGCTGCTAGCAAGAAATACGACCCCAACGGCGTGTTTCAGAAACAGGTCCCTGGTGGTTACAAAATCCCAGCGTAGTTCTTCTGAACTAGTTTATTGCTCTACGGTGAATACAAAAGAATGGGCGCGCTTTATCGCACATGAGCCAAGTTCAGGACAAGAACCTACTTACATCTGATTAAGTCAGGGCTAAAGGTATAATATAATCCTTACTTATCGAAAAGGGAATATTATAGAGTTTACAAGAAGGGATGATATTGAATGACCGGTTTGGAAGCGATATATGAAGGAAATTGATTTCGAAGGAGACATGTTCTGATAGATTCATGGCATGTAGTTGAATTGGCAGATTCTGGGCTGCATGCTATGTTTCCAGAGATGGATGAGATTCACAAGGTGAGATGTGCTGGCATGACGGCTCTGGCGTTTGGGGGAATGCTGAGAACATTTCCACAATACGAGAGTCAATATGTGTTTGTGTGTTTCGTGTAAAAGATCGGTTATATCTTTATGTCAAATGTTCTTATCTTTGAAGTTTCTGGTGTTCACGCCAAGCCGTAGTTAAATCATTCTGAGCCGCTTCGACCTCCTTCGACAGATGTGCCACTAGTCGGTCATGTGCGATTGCTGGCAATCCAGTATAGGGGGCATTGGCATTGGCACCTGGCCCCATTGAATGTGACGTACTAGTCCGCTTGATACAAGCCGAAAGGGTATTGACCAGACGCTGCAGGTGTCCGAGCTCCTTGAGTATCACTTGGGCCTGGATATCCCAATCCAAGGCAAAATTGTCGACTGTGTGATCTCCAATAGTGACAGCCTGATATATCACTTTCTCTGGCGAAGATTTGTGGTCATCGAAGTGATCCTCGCCGCCAGGGGAGCTGCTAGGCCGTCGGGAAATGCACGCGCGGATCGTCGCTCGATACCACACCGCGAGCCGAGAGCAGAGAAGTGCTAACAGAACCTGATTCTGAGGACGAAGAGCGCATCCGCATTGTAGCATGCGGCAAACTGACATGCCGGCATCTTTGTTGTCTTTGAGGACAGACCCCGACATGCGTGCTGGTTCGGGACCACTGGCACCCTGGCTGCTGCGACGATTTCTAAGAGAAAGGCAACTGTTCTCGCGAATGTGGAGTAAGCGGAGACTTTGGGTCGCAGTAATAATGCAAGGAGGGCGGCATTCAGCGAGACAAGAAGATGTCATGGTTGTAGGGGGTGGTGGCGTTAGAACAGGGGTTGTTAGTGAGCCCTCGGAGCCAAAAGGCAGCGTAGAGAGAGACGAAGAGTGGCTATGGTTGCGGGCGGGCAGACGATTCGGAAGCGTAGAGTAATCCAACGTCAGCTCATCAGAATTATCAGAACCAAGGGCATAGTCCATGCAAATATCAGAGTTCGTATCGGGACCAGATTCTGCACTAGATTCGAGGGGCGGGCTTGCAAGGAGAGAATGCAGATAAGCAGTAGAACTAAGATCAACGTTCAAGTGAACATCAGGAGCCTCGAATGGTGGCTCTCCGAATAGACTGTTGTTTGCAGCGAACCCCGCGGGTAGGTTTAGCGGATCGGTAGGTCCCGTACATTGGGATATTGTTGAAAGCCGATCATGATCATCGTCACTGCTGGGAAGCAGCACCGGAAAAGGCCCCGGATCCTTGCCGAAGTGTATATCAAAAGCACCCAGCGGTCCCAAAGAAGTGTGATCAAAATCGCGAGCCTTATCCGTGGGCGGCGTGACTTGACCTAGATGCCAGAATAGGCCATCAAGTTGGTCATTTAGTTGGGCGTGACTCGAATGTTTAATAGAGTGCCCCGAGCGACACTGATGACGTGCACAGGTGCACGGTGACCTGTCCATGCAGATATCTCCATCGTCAATGACAAGGGTGCACATATTGGTGAAAGGCCAAGAGTTCGCAATATCAAGATGACTGGACTGAACACCCTAGAAGCTGGGGAACAGAAAGAAGAAAGGGAGAAAGAGGGCAATGGACCAGCTAAGTCCTAGACAAATATGGAGGCCACCTAATCTTGTAACATTCCATCCACAGGACGCCATCCTTTCATCTCTCAAAGTCCAAGCCCCTGCAATGAGAAAAATCCAAAATGGATGATATTTACGATTCCCAGCCCGGGTGGGCACTAACTAGTATCGGGCATAGCGCCTCGCATTAGTACAGCACGGGCAATTTTCTTTGGCGCTCTTACCTCAGCTGTTCCCGCTTACCCCTGGAGACTAGTATTTGGCCCCATCGTGAAGAAAAGCCGTATTATTCTACACCGCGTGAAATATGACTAAACGCTAAGCTTTTCAAAGGTACTGATCGTCGACACCAGCTCCCAGGTTTATAGATCGTCGTATGATCCTCCGAGAGACCCATAAAGAAGATCAATTCTTCGTAAGAGTTCAACTCTCTCTTAAAAAGTCCTTTCTAGCGAAGACTTACTGTCCGATGTTTACGCAGTCGGGGCGGTTTCGTTACAAGGCGTATTTCAATGCTTATGTTGCATCGTTTAGGCTGTCCCTAAGTCGGTCTCGAGCTAGCCAGGTCAGCTAACCGAGAATCGACCATTTTTAGCGATTGCAGGTGAAAATTGGAGGGAAAGTGGTTGCGGGAGATTACCGAGGGGGGCCTAAACGGGCCGCTCAGCTGTGATCCCCACATGGCTCGATTCGACCCCTCGAGGTCTTTCTCTCGGCGTTTGGATCGCTTTCTTACTAGTGAGCGGATGAGAGCGTAATCTTTTGTCACAGTTCTTTGCGACAACAGACCATTCAACTTCTACCACGCCCCTCAGGTTAGCCGTCTATAAATATGAATCAGCGGAGCCCACAATACGAGACCAGGCGCGAGGCTGAGAGTTACGAGTTTTAGTATGCAGGAAAGCCCCGCTAATATGAATAATGTATCAAACGGGGCCAACTCGTGCTCCGTACCTCGGGGATGAATAGAGGGGCATGAAGCTTTGGACTAGTTCTTCGGTGGGCTTAGCCAAAACCAAACCGTTCATAGGTGGTATCCATGGAGTGGCCGTCTGACTCGGTTCTTCAAATACTAGGGAGCCGCTTACCTTTGCAACATCCTCCATTTGAGCATACGACAGAAAATATGGAACCCAAACAAACTCAGTCGCCAACATCAACTACGGCCGCCCCACCTCCCACATCTTCACAATCTCAAAAGCTTAAGGATTCTTGTGACAATTGTTCCTCGTCCAAAGTGCGCTGTACGAAAGAAAAACCGTCGTGTGCACGGTGCGAAAAGTCGGGATATACATGTTTCTATAGCCCTGCACGGAGAGTTGGACGACCATACCGATCTAAAATGCCTTCACCGGCAGAAAAAGACGGCGAGGAACCAGAACGGCCACATTCTACCAAGGCCATAAGGACGAGCCGATTTGTAGATGAAGGAGACAGACCATCGTCTCGGTTCAAAACGTTGTCTTCCCGTGCGGATGCGGGCCGCAATAGCTCCATTGTCAATCTCAGACCCAGTCAAAATGATCCATCCTTCAAAACGTCCTTCAAAACGCAACAACCAAAAGGCAATGTGGCTGAAATTCATAGGCACAAGGTCGACCCAGATTGCGTATTGGTCGTCATGGACCTGTTCTACGAATTGGAAGTTCAGACCGAGCAGCTCAGGCGCTCATCATTGGTAGATTCCTGCCTAGCGAACTCGACGGCGCAGACCATCATCGCCGCACTTCGCCGCCTCTTCACCATTTTGATATGTCCTTGCTCTGAGCGCGCTGAGGTTGGCATGTTGATATATGCCATCTGCATGACCATCATCGATATGCACGCCATGACAATCACCAAGTCCGTTCGCAACAACCCACCGCCACCGGTGCTGGGTCAGACGGGTCTTTGGGATGATCATGGAGCGTCTACGCAGGAGCCGCCGGAAAACGAAGCCGTGGCTATGCTGGTATTAGGAGAGCTATCCAAGATGGCCAAGTTAGTTTTGCAATTCATCGAGCGGTACAGTGGAGATGTGGAGGGTAAACAGCCCCTTCCGGAAGAACACGAGATCCCATTCGACTTTCTGCCGGCTTTGGGCAACCTCATGCGGGAGAGGCTGCAGCAAATTACAAACGATGCAACATATTGGCTAGGATAGCCTGGAGTTTATATATTTTTAGATTTATTCAGCATAGTTTGAATTAAGTTCCTCGTGTAGTTGACGACAATGCAATCTTTCTCATTCTGTCTTTGCATCTAACAATACTGCTTGATCCAATCCTTGAACTCCTTCACGGTAGGACATTCTAAAAACAAAGAACTCCTAACCTCCAATCTCAACTCATTTCGGAATTTCTCAGCCAGCACAAGAGACATGAGAGAATCAACACCCAGTTCGGGGAAGGTGGCCTCATCAGCGAGGTCCGAGGGCGGATAGCCAGTTTCCTGTCCAATCAACCGAAGGCAGTCGGTGATCACCGCAGGTTCGTTGGCAACAACGGTAGGGGATGAAGACTCGACAACGGGTGGCCTTGACGGTAGAGTTGTTTCGGCGGGAACAAGAGGCTTGGGCAACAGTGCCCGGGTAGGCTGTGTTGCTGATGTCTTTTCAACAGCCGCTGCAGGGGTCGCGAACATGGCTCCCAGAAGAGCTCTCGGTATACGTCGGAATTTGATGTCGCCCAACAAGCCCACAATCTCATTCTCTCGTAACACGTAAAGATCGCCCAGGAACGTATTGGGGTCGCCCTTTTCTGGAATCATGTGCACATAGCTCGTATACTTGACGCCCGGCTCAAAACTCTCTATGCAGCGCAGATCCTTCCATCCAGGCGTGATATAAGCAAACTGCTTCGTGTTCGTCGCATCACTTCCATTCATGACAAACCCAGCCAATTGAAACAAACTGTCGGTCCAGTGAGGAGGGGTGTGCCACTTCCCGTGTCTATCCACTGGGAGGCAGATTTCCGCACAGGCCTCGAATTGATTCAGCACGACTGATTGCATGCCTTGGTAAATGGGACTGTAATCAACGATGTTTCGGAAGAGCTCGTACACCATGCTCCTTGAAAGACGACTTGCTTCTCCTGTAGAGGCCATTGCCATGAGCGTGTCGATGCGCGACTTCAGCAGATGGCTTTGTCGCCCCCATTCCTTTGTCCATGCGGTTGGGTTTTCATAGGTGATTGTGGCTGTAGCAAAGGAGTCTTTCGAGCGCTGACCACTAACTGATTGGGTGTACCATGTAATGTTGGCAGTGGATGTGGCTTGATTGAGTGTTGCATCAATCTGGAGCAGCTGAGACCCTGAACTGCTCTGGTCAAGTTTTTGAGGACTCTGGACGAGCATATTGGTAAGATTCATTGAAGGTTGCTCATCAGAGGGGGCAATAAGCTTGTACAGATATGAGCCCAGAGTGAGAGCCATATCTGTCCAGATTGACTAATTTTAAAGGGTAAGCAGGCAAGAAACACACAAGAGAGTGGAGAACTCACAGCAGACACCACGCCGATTCCGTTAATAGTATGCCCCAGAACTGCATTCATGAAGTCAGACCGTTTCACATCGGTCACAGCAGTGACCTCTACAGTCGAGTCGGTTATTTTCTGGGAAACAATTTGTTGCACAGAGGTACTGTCGATAGACTGTCCAGAGGGTATGGCCTGTTTTCCTCCTCTTTGTGCATTGCCCTTATCTAGAGTCCATGTGCCCTCATACTGAATCCAGTGGTTTTTGTTATTCCACCGGTAGGCGCCTAGCCTCAAAACATTGTATGAATGTTCTTCTGGCTTGAAGTATTCATTCCAGCATACCGGTAGCCCTTCACAATGCATTGCTGCCATTGCTTTGGTCAAGGTAACATGGTTGTCTTCGCCCTTCCGCAAGGATTGGACGATAGGGGCGTCAGAGACGTGACTCTTAACAAATGAAGAGCAAAGCGCATGATGTCCGACCTCGAGCCAGACCGCTTCTTCCGTGATCCCTAGTCCCCTGGCGGTGTTCATCGCGCCGAGGAAGTTGACTGGTTCTCTGGACGCACGGCGAAGGTATTTCGCGTCCACGGTATTGCCATCAAAGATGCATTTTCCAAGCAGAGTAGATATGATGGGGATCTGAGGAGGGTGGAACGTGATATGTCTCGCAGTTTGCTCGAATTCATCAAGAATAGGATCGAGTTGAGCAGTGTGGAATGCAAAAGGGAGATCCAACTCCATACACTTTATGCCACGTGCTTCCAGAGTTGAGCGCACAACTTCGATCTCCTCACGAACTCCGCTAATCACAGTCGACTTCAGATCGTTCATACATGAGATTTCGTAGACGTGAGATTCGGAAATGTTGCGAATTTCTTCAACACTCGCACGCACGGATAGCATGACATGGCTGCCCGCGGTACAAGAAGCCATGACAAGCTCTGCCCGTCGGCCAACGAGATAGATTGCATCCGCAGGCGCAAGAACCTTAGCAGCTACCAAGGCGGCATACTCGCCAAGACTGTGGCCCATGACAAAACTGGGTCGAATGCCCAGAAGCTCCCACAATTTCAAAAGTGCAATCTCAAGAATAAGAATTGCCAACTGTGAGAGGATCGGTGAAACGTTGTTGGCTTCTTCGGTCCTTTCCAATGTTGCAAAAACAGACGGAAATCCCAAATTCAGGGACACCTTATCCAACTGGGCAACCTGATCACGGAAGAAGGGGAAACTGCGCAGAAGCTGTGCTGCTGCTCCACGGTAGAAAGCACCCTGTCCCGTGAAAACGAACGCAACGCCTGGGGCTGTAGCTGGAACTGGTCGCAAGCTTCCAACTTTTTCAATTGAAGACTCAAGGAAACTTCTGAGTTGGGCTTTATTTGTGGCAGAGGTTGCAATGCGTGTATGATGGTGCATCCGTCGGGCACAGGTGGTGTAGGAAAGATCGCCGAGAGTCACGTCGGGATTCGCATCAATGAAATGGATTAGAGCCTTGGTGTTCTCCTTCAGGGATGCCTTGCTTTTTGCAGAAAGGGTGATTGGGTACGCAGCCCGCGACTCTGGGGTCACCTTGGGCTTACGCGGAGCATCTTCCAAGAGCAACGTAGTGTTTCCGCCATGGGCTCCAAAGCTGTTGACTATAGCATATCGTCCTCGCTTTTCAGGCCTGGGCCACTTGGTATGCTCCATAACAAGACCAGTGTTGCGGTTCTTCGTATTTTGCATCACGATTGGATTTATCTCTGTCGTGATACCAATGTGCCGGGGTATTTCTTCATTTTCAAAGGCAAGGAGAACTTTTATCAAAGAAGTCACCCCAGCTGCCGCCTCCCCGTGGCCAATATTGGCCTTGACGGCCCCCAGATGAAGTCGTTGCTGTCGGGCCTGAGTGAGGGGGGCGAAGACACTAGCGACAGACTCGGATTCGACACCGTCCCCTGCTTGGGTTCCAGTTCCATGCAGCTCGACATAGCTCACATCCAACGGACTGACTCCAGCAGTGTGCATTACCTGTCGATAGTTGTCTTTCTGAGCCCCGGCATGGGGATGAGTAATGGATACTGCTTCACACGAGTGGTTGGTGGCACCGGACACGATTGTGGCAATGATGGGATCATTGTCTGCCAGTGCATCTTCCAGCTTCTTGATAACTACAGAGCCTACCCCGTCTGATCGACAGTACCCATCCGCGCTCTTGTCCCAGACCTTGCATTGACCTGTCTTGGACAGAAAGTGGCCCTTGGAGAGCATGCAGTAAATGTCGGAGTTGGTAATGACGTTCAATCCTCCAGCAATCACCATATCCGTTTCACCAGCCCATAGAGAGGAGCAGGCTGCGTTGACTGCCGCCAAACCGCTTGAGCAAGCAGTATCAATGTTGAAGCTTGGACCACCGAAGTTGAAAAAGTAATTGATGCGGCCGTTTCCAAAGGCACGTTCTCCTCCAGGTATACCGTACGTGCCGATTTGTTGCCCGGCGTTTGTTTCACGATAGTCATCGCTGGCCTGACCATAGAAAGTACCAACACGCTTCCTGCACGTGGACGCGGTTCGATCTGGAGCGTATCCAGACATCTCCAGGGCCTCATATGCTGTGACTAGGGCAAGACGCTGCATGGGATCGGTTTGATCAGCCTATTTAGGCTGTTGTCAGTAAGCTGGCATGAGGTATCGCTGGGAGATCAAGATAATTGGAGAAGACGACCTACTTCACGTGGGGACATATTGAAGAATCCGCTGTCGAATAGACCCGGATGGTCAATGAAATTTCCAAATGGAGACTCTGTCGCATTTATTGTCTTTCCAGTCGGGTCGAAGTGGGTCTCCAAGTCGAATCGGTCCTGTGGGACGGTAGTGCAGGTGTTGCGGCCCTCCATCAACAGCTTCCAAAACAACTCTGGGTCGTTTGCTCCTCCTGGTAAACGGCAGGACATGCCCACGATGGCAAGCTTTTGGGAAGGGTTTGGACTTGGAAGTTTAGTTTCTTTGTGGATCCAGTCCATCAAGTTCTGTGTTTTCAGCTGGATGCTTGGAAGACTAGCCCCAATGCTTGCGAGAATCTGGTCCGAGGCCACGGAGCGATGAAACTGATAAACCTCGCATTCTTTGGACTCAACGCTGGAAAGATTCAATGTGATACCCGAGCTGAGCTTGTCAGGGAACAGAGGCATAGTCAATGCCTCCGTGCAGATGGCCTCGTACAGCTGTGCGGCATCATCGGCAATGAATGGCTTTCCCGAGTTAGGAGACAGTAATGGGATATACACCGGACGACGGTTTTCCTTCGCAGTTCCAAAGCCTCTCAGAATTTCATGGACATCTTCATGGCTGTAAATATGTGAGACATGGCAGAGACCCCCGTAAATGGGGAGTGGAGATCGTTTCGCGTTTCGCAGCACGGGCGAATGGCGGAAGAGACTTTCAAGACGAGATGGAGGCCCCGTAATTCCAACCGAAATTGAGTCTGCATGGCTGATGCATACCCGACAAATATCCGAGTTTTTCTTCCAAAGGTTAGTCTCAGACGAACCAAAGTTTAGGATGGCCTCTTCACATACTGTGTCCGTATTATACGCATCCAGTGCATCTTGCACCTCTGCCACATCAAGTCCAGCTACCACATATGCCCAGCTTTTGCGAACCTCGCCCAGAGGCTCAAGCATATGTGATACCCGGCCGACGTGCAATCCAAAGCGGAAGGCCACCCGTACACTAGTAGAACCAGTGTGGGCAAGCTCAAACAGGGATGAAGATGTGGCTACAGCTGCCGCTGAAAACAGCCCTATGCTCATCCCTGCAAGGACCATTCCATCGGACACAGGGAGGTCATAGAGAATACCTTGGGACTCATAATGCCTAGGAGTTGTTGTTAGTACTCGTCTTCGTCGAAAGAAAGCATATGTGTTTCATGGTGACATACCCAATAAGCATTCCAAGCTCCAGCACACAAAGCAATGCTCCTTCGAGAGCTCCTCCGGCAGGGGACTTTTGCAAATCTTCCAGGTTTTCAACCCAGTCCATGATGGATTGGGGAGGAGGGAAGGCATCTTGCATGTGTCGAGGCAAAGCAAGTATCTCTTCCTTCAATCCGAAGGTACCTTCCTTCAAAAAGGTGGTTAACAAGGGTAGCCTACTTTCACGACTCCATCGTTGCAAAGAGCCAAAAAGGTCTGAAAGCCTGTCATGAGGGAAAGTATGGCTGAACAAAAGAAAACGAGATGAGACCCCTTCTTCAGAAGATGTAGATGGGGTGTCCATTTTTCTCAAAATCATGAGATAGAATACCTGGAACGATCAATAGAGTGAGATGTAGTATATTTTAAATGTTTAGCCCTATATTATGTGGACAAACATATTGCACGTGGTGTCTCACTGAGATCTCACGCTAGCCTGCGCCCTCCTCACGGCTCTACAGTCAGGCACCCTTCTGATGTTACATTAAGCCCGGGGTCCGATCATGAACATGGGATTCTAGAGCCGATAACAGTCGGAGAATTTTGTCCATGGCCTGCGAAGTTGTCGGGGTAATATCATAGCTTATCGTGGCTGAACTCTTCTCTTCCTAAGTGGAGCTAACTGACAGTAAGCTGAAGTGACTCTGCCGCTAGCCTAGATTGAATACGAAGGGCTTATTCTGGTGTTAGTTGCAGCTGGTTCCACATTTTTTTAATGACTTTAATTGTCCGCAAATGCTTGTGATATATTTGTCCGAGGGGTGTAGGTCTAGCCAGCCCAAATTGACCATACAGACAGAGCCTTTCAATCTATGTTCGAAGCACAAACCACTTCTTCTCTGCCCCCCCTACCACCGTGAAGCCAAGTTCTCCCTGCTCAGCTAGTTTATACAGGACTTGTGTTATGAAGGGCCCCACCATCGTTTCTAATGCCGTTCCGTAAAGACGGGATGTGACTTCCCGAGCTGTCAACAATGCCTTCTCCTTCAAACTACCTGTCATAAATGTAGAATAAACAGCCTTCTCAAGTACCTCCCAATGCCTAGCGTACACCATGAGCTTGGCGGTTGGATCTTCAATCACGGCGCCATGCCCGGGGTATCCAACTCTTATACTCTCGCTATGCACTCTTTGCCTCATCTTCTGAATGCTCTTGAGATATAGTCCTAAGTTTTCCACGACAACACTGGTTCCATGACCCAGGATATTGTCACCTGTAAATATAGCACCGGTTTCCTCCAAAATAAAACACATGTGGTCTGTAGAGTGTCCAGGCGTGAAGAACGCTTGGATTGTCGCCCCATCAGTCGCAAAGATTTGGCCATCATGTATTGGATTTTGGCCACGGTCAGGATCTGCTTTGTAGATGGCTCCTTCAAGATGCGGATAATGACAGAGCAGTGCGCGCAGACCTCCAGTGTGATCAGAATGCCAATGGGTGAGGAGCACTTGTGAGATGCTGAGATGATGTTGTTTTAAGAAGTTGACCAATGTCTCGATCCAAAGTTGACAACCCTTTGGATCCAGTCAGTTTTTTATTCTAACTGTTTGAGAATTGAGGTTCAAGCCCACTGACCTGTCCTGTATCTATCAAAATCCTTGTCTGGCCGCTCCCGACCAAATATGTATTCGTGCCTTGTAGTTGCATGTCACCAGGATTTCCGCCCAGTATCCTCACGACCTCTGCACTGAGCTCGGTCACTACAGGCAGAGCTGGTAGTTTGGAGTTTCGAATAGCTAGGTAGTCGTGCCATTCCGACTGGGTCCATATTTTTGGAGTGAACATGGTGTTGACAGCTGTACTGAATCGCAAAGCACCCAGAGACAGTAATATTGAAGAATCGAGATACAACTACCTCGGTACCTAGGTATCTCGATGACAAACCGAAACGTGGCATTATTGCCTACCTGTTCGGACCTGAGGATCTGAGGCTCCAGGGCAATCATTTAGGTCGGAGTCCGAGGTATCCACTGTTCCCGCACGGGCGGTCCCATGGCCCCCAACAGCCTCCAGTGAATCAAGAACAGCCCGATTGGCAGGACTCTAGCTCCGCGAGGTTCAACTTTCAACTCCGAGAAGTTATATGCCGTCTTCTTTCGATGGATGGCTCAATTATAAAGTCTGAGGTTGTTGACAAAAGGGTCAAGTCTTTCATCCAACACAACCACGCAGTAACGACACAATACAATCGAAGCATTTTCGTTTTTCAGACTGCAGTGGACTATCCGATAAAATGGCCGCTACACAGACTGTTCCTGAGCAGTGCACCGTACTGGTGGTGGGAGGTGGCCCAGCCGGCTCTTACGCCTCTTCGGCTCTGGCCCGAGAGGGCATCAGTGTTGTTTTGCTGGAGGCTGACAACTTCCCACGGTTAGTCTCCTTGTGCTTTAACAGCCTTCAGTTGCCTGGTTTCACGATTTTCGCAACGGTCGCTAACCTTGACTGTAGATATCACATCGGAGAGAGCATGCTCCCTTCTATGCGCCACTTCTTGAAGTTCATTGACTGCTATGAGAAGTTCGATGCGCACGGATTCCGTGTCAAGGTAAGTTATCAGTCCTGAGACGTAAGGAATCAACATGTAAATCATGAAAATGCTGATCTATTCGTTCTAGAACGGTGGTGCTTTCCGTCTCAATTGGTCCCGCCCTGAGTCATGTAAGTCTATTCAAGCTGAGCATCTCTTCATCATCGTTCAAACCTAACTTTCTCAACCATAGATACTGATTTCGTTGCTGCCGGTGGACCTGGCGGATACTCATGGAACGTAATCCGTTCTGAAGCGGATGAAATTCTCTTCCGTCATGCTGGTGAGAGTGGCGCTAGCATCTTCGACGGTACAAAGGTTACCGGCATTGAATTCGAGGCATCCTCCGAGGACGTTGTTGATCCCGCGAACCCCAACCCAGGAAAACCAGTTTCCGCAACTTGGTCCCGCAAGGATGGCAGCACCGGTACGGTGAAGTTTGATTATCTCATTGATGCCAGCGGTAGGGCTGGTCTTGTCAGCACCAAGTATCTGAAGAACCGTCGGTACAACCAAGGCCTCAAGAATGTCGCCAGCTGGGCCTACTGGACTGGCGGTGGTACTTACGGCGTGGGAACCCACAAGGTCGGCGCGCCGTACTTTGAGGCATTGAAAGGCAAGGAGTCCCTCGCAAATACTTCTCAACATTTTGCTAACTAATGTCATACGTGTAGATGCCAGCGGCTGGGTTTGGTTTATCCCGCTTCACAATGGTACCCACTCGGTGGGTATTGTTATGAACCAGGCCAAGGCAACTGAAAGGAAGAAAGCTATGGATTCACCTTCTAGCAAGGAATTCTATCTCGAAAATCTGAACCTGGTTCCAGGCATCCAGGCATTGCTTGAGAAGGGTGAGATCGTCAGTGAGGTCAAGTCTGCATCCGACTGGTCTTACAGTGCATCATCCTACGCCTTCCCCCATGTTCGTATTGCTGGAGATGCAGGATGCTTCATTGACCCTTTCTTCTCTTCCGGGGTTCACCTTGCCCTGTCCAGTGGGTTGACTGCTGCAGTGACCATTTCTGCTGCTATCCGTGGGGACGTCACGGAGAAGGAGGCAGCACAATGGCACTCCAGCAAGGTTGCCGAGGGATACACCCGCTTCCTTCTTGTTGTTCTCAGCTCCCTCAAGCAGATTCGGGGTGGTGACGAGCCGGTCTTGAGTGACTGGGATGAGAAGAGCTTTGACCGCGCCTTTGATCACTTCCGCCCTAGTAAGTGACTTTCACGCGCTTTCTTGACAACGAATGGTTTGACTAATGATATCAACAGTCATTCAGGGTACTGCGGATGCAGACTCCGAGAAAAAATTGAGCACTGAAGAGATCTCCAAGACCATTGACTTCTGCTTCCGAGCTTTCGCTCATGTTCCCGTTGAGCGGAAGGATGCTCTGCTTGAGAAAATGAAGAACCATGGTGTTTCTGACCCAACCGCCACAGACCTCAAGACCCGCGAAGCCCTTGAGGAACTGAAGAATACCCTCTCACCCGAAGAGTTGGACATAATGAACACTATTCGCGGACGCCGCATGATCCGTGCTGAGGATTCATTGAACATCGACAATTACAGGCTGGATTCCATCAATGGCATGGCACCTAACCTTGAGCGAGGAAATTTGACCCTTCGTAAGGCGGAAATCAACAAGATTGATGTCACAAAGAAGGACCTGCTTTCCCTCCTTAGTGGTGAAGCCGCAGAAGGAGTGCACCACGAGACCGAGGTGGCCAAGGCCCCGGCGGCAGCTGTGGTGGAAGTTGCGGAGTTCGCAACTTGAAAGCATCTGGAGAAAGAGTCCAATCGCCATAGAATGATAGTTACATTTTTGATTTTGCCAGCAATTGCTTGTGTATTGAATTACGTCAATCAACGAAATTTTGAATTTATTAAGTCAACTTGAAAAAGACATCAGTGTCGAGGCCAGTGCGATGGGTCGGTAGATCAACGATTGTTGTCCTGTTGATGATATAGGGTCTTTGTGCTCGAGATTAGGTAGGATATCTCTAACTGGCGTTTTCCAGGAGATAAAAACGACTAAAATAAAGTCACGGACTTGGTAAGCGAGCCCAAGTGATAATACGAAGCCTGTGAATCGGCAGTAGTTCTGATTGCTACGTCGCGGTATCCAAGGTTGTTCTTATACACCACCTGGCCATGATGCAGCACGCCGATAGATATCCCTACTATCCCTGGAATTTGTCGGATATGTTCTAAAGCTGACCTGAGATCTTCCAAGCGAGATAGCAGAGAGGAGTTGTCTTTTGCTGAGGCTGAGGAAACTTTGGGCGGCGAGAAAATGTGTCAACAATCGGCTCCACATGGTCTTTGCTAATTCTAATGCAGTAATCTAATATGACCTAAGACTGTTCTCCGGCACTTCCCATGATAGGTAGACCCTATGCCTTCTAGTTTTGAGAGCGGAATGAGACTAAAGATTATGCACCTCCAGAAATAGGAGGAGTACGGTGAAAACTGAGGGCCATCAAAAAGTAGTCGCAGAGTAAATAGTATTATAGGGCAAGTGCTTCTTTAGGTATGGTCTAAGATAAAAGCGGCGGTAGCTAAGGTAGGAAAGCCCTACCCGGCAGAGGAAATCAAGTACGTATAGCACAGAAGTACTTACTCGAAAACCAAGTTTCGAAGAACTTGCGACGATACCTGCAAAATTTGCAGTACATGCACTCTGGCAATTGGCATTGGGGTGCTACCTGCCCTCGATTTACCAACTTATCTCTCAATGCTTCCATTGGAGCTTGTCTTGAAGATTCGACAGCTCCCTGCGCTACACTCCTATCAAAGGCCCGGCCCGTCCCTCAGTCAGCTGGTCGTGGCGCCGTGGGCGCGGGAAAAGTGACAATTGCCCTGATTCCAATGTCTGTGCTACATCCTTTTTGAACACAAGTCATATGATTTTGTTAACGGGAATTCTATATGGCTACTTCCTATTGGATCCGAAAATACTATCAACCCATGCTTTCAAGAAACCTCGCAGCTATTATCATCAACGCACTAAAGCCATGCCTCAAGGCAACCGAAGCGTCAATCATGCAAATCACGAGGATCATGCGCCATCTCTTCGACAGCTCTTTTGATGCTGGATGATATTCAAAGCCACTCGCAATGCGCCACGGCTTCCCAGTTGCACATGAAATATTTGGAATTTCACAGGCGAGCAACGCCGCCAGCTATCTATTTGTCCTTGCTTTCGAAGAGTCCTTCAAGCTTCAGAATCAAACTTTAAGCCAACGGTTATTGGTTCGTTCTTGGACTGCTCGTTAGTTCACTGTCCAGTATGGTGTTAAATATGTGATCTAGGCGACTGCCGAAGAGTATCTTCACATGGTCTGTCTGAGTAAGTTTGCCCTCCTTCAATGCATGCCAAAATAAACATCTTGCTGAGAATGCGAACAGAGGCGGGTGGAAATATCCGCTTGCTTATCCATGTGATTTATGCAGAGAGCACACATTCCCGGTTAGTCGACCTGTATCATGAGAAAGGTTCAAGAGCTCTAAACATCTCACAGTGCCATCAACCGCGATAAATTGATCGAATTGGTGATTACCGCTGCTCAGTACATGCAAAGTCAAGATGACTATGTGGACACGTCAACTGCAATGGTGAGTATAAACGTTGAATTGTACGGCATGTTACAGGAGGCATTTCATACCAACCAAATATTCCAGATCTACGAGAAAGTTGCCAATGGCGAGGATCTGGATGAAGGGAAGTTCTCTCTTCCAGTCATTCATATGTTCTCGCAGTCTCCCAAACGTCAGTTGCTGGAAGCCATCTTCACTGAAAGGTTGCGACAAGGGACGATGCCAATGGAACACAAACGACTGAGATGAGATGGCGAGCGTGGGCAGCGCAAGTATTGTAGGGGAATCATGGAAGACATCAGAGCCAAAGTCATTACCGGATTTGGGAAGATCGAAAAACAACTTGGAGAGAAGAAATACAACTTCCGGTTGATTTTGGAATTCTTCTCGATGGAGAATTAGTGAAGACGCCTGGGTTGGGGAAATGCTTTCCTTGTTGTATTCAAAATTGAAGATTGAGATTGAAGAATAAATCATACTCTGCCATTCAAGATCATATCTGTGTTATGGCATCCATACCGAAACTCTGTGCATCTCACCGGGTATGAAAATATCTCGCTACATGTCCAAAATTCAGCAATCAGCAGTCACCATAGACCACCAGTAAACACCACACCATTTTGCTGATGGAACTCTACCAAAATCCCACATTCAAGCCATACCCTTAACAACCTGCTCCCGTCTTTCTTGCCAAACATTCTTACCCGAGCAAGAGCAAACCATCTTATCATTATCCCAGACACCAGCACTGCGCGCAATAACACCAACAAGGGTATTCGCATCCTCGCGCGAGAACGGACCCTCGGCGTTCTTGGACACAACCATACTCCTACCAATCAATTCCCAAATAGCAACAGGCCGGTCCAAGAATACACTGCCGCGTCCCTTCTCATCAACATCCACATTTCCGAAGATACCGCGGGGTTCTTTTGGCGGTTGAGCAGCAGTCTCAGAGCCAAGAACCTTCGCTTTGACAGCCTCCCAGAGACCACCGGTTGACTCGGCACCCCGTGAGATATCTCCTGCTTCGCGGATAGTAGCAACGTATTTGCCTGGCGAGAGGCCGTTAATTGTTAAGTCGACGAGAGTCATATTCGAGGAGACCTGGACCATACGGGCCAGGCCGCGGATCTTGTCCGAGACGCTGGAGGAGTGGGTTTCGAGGATGCAGACAGCGGAGCCTGTTTAGGTATATGTGTGAGCCAACGTGTTTCAGAGATCTGACATAGACAATGGCCTCGAACTACGGGGGTCCGTACTGTTTGTAGTGCCGCTGCCGCGGAGGATAGCATCTCGGCCGGTGCTTTCAATGGCGGAGACGATGGAGCTGGGAGGGGCGGTGCCTTCGATGAAGACTAGTTGGTCCTTGAGATTTGCGTCTACCTTATTGATGCCTGTCGAGAGGTCAGACCGGAGGAAGGCGGATTAGGGCCGGTTTCCAGGGATGACTACCTTCCAGATTATACAGGGAGCTGGAAATGGACTTGACGCAGTCCTCGCAGGTCATAGGGACCGCAAAGGTCGTCTATAATTGAGCACGGCATCAGTATGAGATTTGTTGAGTCACTGCACAAACAGACCTGGAATGGTTCGATCATGGCGGGGAAGCTGAGAGTAGATTTCCGACGTCGGTGGCAAGTATTGGGGGTGGTGTGCACAGCTGAAAAAGCACAGTAACAAGAAGAAAAGAGAGATCCGAAGATATATTCACAGCAAAGTGCTACCGCATGTTGCACTTAAATCGCAAGGCGGGGCGCAATTCGGATTTCAAAGCGAAGGAACTCGGCCCATTTCTGATCTCAAACGTCATTCCGGAATCTTCCCCTACCGCACCTCCCCCCGTCGCGCCGGCGAAAATGGCCTCCACATCGAGATGGGCAAACGACGACCCTGAGACCGAAGCAATTATCGCGCAACAAAAACGCGAAAAAGAAGAAAAGCGACGCGCTAAGGCGGAGAAACAGCGGAAGCTCGACGAAGCCAGCAAAGCTCAACAAGCTCGGCAGAATGTTGACAACGCACAAGGCCCCAATGGCGAGTCCGGGCCTCCGATGAAACGGCGGAGACTTTCGAATGACCAGGCCACTGCTTCGAGCGATGCGGAGGTAGCGACGATCGAAAAGGAACAGAAGCAGTCGAGCCTGTTGCGTTTCCCGGTTGGAGAATGGGGGCCCTGCAGACATGTGGACAACTTCGAGAGATTGAACCATATCGAAGAGGGCTCTTATGGATGGGTGTCGCGCGCGAAGGATATCACCACGGGCGAAATCGTTGCGCTGAAGAAACTGAAACTGGATAACGCGCCGGACGGGTTCCCAGTCACAGGACTGCGGGAGATTCAAACGCTGATGGAGGCGCGACATGCGAATGTCGTTTATCTGCGCGAGGTGGTGATGGGGAATAAGCTGGATGAGTGAGTTCTCCTGTAACAGATCTACGTCGGCGACAAAAAACAAAACAGGCTAATCAATTACTCTCAACAGTGTCTTCCTGGTAATGGACTTCCTGGAACACGACCTCAAAGCTCTCCTAGACGAAATGCGCGAACCATTCCTCCCATCGGAAATCAAAACCGTCCTCTTGCAGGTCGTAGGAGGCCTCGAATTCCTACATTCACAGTGGATCATGCACCGCGACCTGAAAACCTCCAACCTATTAATGAACAACCGTGGCGAAATCAAAATCGCAGACTTTGGCATGGCCCGCTACTATGGCGATCCACCACCTAAGCTGACACAGCTGGTCGTGACACTCTGGTACCGAGCACCGGAGCTACTCCTCGGCGCAGACAAGTACGGCACCGAGATCGACATGTGGAGCATTGGCTGTATCTTCGGCGAGCTACTCACCAAGGAACCTCTCTTGCAGGGCAAGAACGAAGTCGATCAGGTATCCAAGATCTTCGCACTGACCGGCCCGCCGAACTCGCAGACGTGGCCGGGTTTCCGCTCATTGCCTAATGCTAAATCGCTGCGGCTGCCGTCGACGTCGGCTACCTCCTCTGCTGGTAATCCGCCTCTGTTGCCTCGGTCTCGGTTCCCTTATCTTACGAATTCCGGGTTGAGTCTTTTGTCCGGGCTGTTGGCGTTGAATCCTTCTTCGCGTCCTACCGCGCAGCAGTGTCTTGCGCATCCGTACTTCCGGGAAGATCCACGGCCGAAGCCGAAGGAGATGTTCCCTACTTTCCCTTCGAAGGCTGGTATGGAGAGACGGAGGCGCCATCATACGCCTGAAGCTCCGAAGCGGGGCCAGGAAGCACCCGAGCTGGACTTTGCGGGTGTGTTTGGTGGTGCTCCTGGTGGAGATACAGGTGAAGCAGGTGCAGGATTTACTCTTCGGTTGGGATAGTCTGATTTCGCTATCTAGTGACCAAGGGTTGAACAAACAATAACGAACATTTGGCTACTGTCCATCATTTGACCGCGATACGTGGTGGCTAGGGGCAACTTGCATGGATTAAAGGAATGAATTCCTGCCTCGAAACTCCATGTCGACTTTCAAAATATTTAAGAATACAGTATACCATGAAATGGATAGAGGGTAATAAATAACAACATTGAATCGGCAGTCCTCTTTCAAAAGCTCAGATGAAACGTATCAACGAACGACTTGCACCAACCATTCTCGCTCTACCAGTGGGCGTGACTCGGCTGTCCACGATATTCAATATCATACATCTCCGATTCATCTTCGTTGTAATCCAAGCCTGCTCCATGAGCACCGTGCGATGCGAGCTGCACAGACATGTTTGATGGGCACATAACCTCAGTCATCTCTCGAGTTTGAATGGAAGAATTCAAGTCCAAACTTGAACGACTATGAGCATTGCCATCACTGGTTGCCTGGCGGGAAGACTTGAGTGGCTGGTTGCCCCGATCATGGTAGTGAGTACTACTTTTCCCGTCGACGAGGTAGTATTCGTTTGCACCTACTGGGATCGGGAAGAGAACTTCACTGCCAATCGGCGACCGTTGATCACTTGACATCGATGTCATCGATGTGACTTCGGTCGATGTATGTTCTGGCGATGTACTCTCGTCGGCGTAGAGGCGCGGATACTCATGACTATCGTATAGGGATTGGAATACGTCACGCCCTTGCTCCGCAGCGGAGGTCCAGTCCAGAGAATATCGGTTCTGGTGATCGAATGCAGGCTCTCGGTAGCTTGTACGTCTTGACAGGTCCAGATTGCGTCTCTCCATATCCTACCCCAGTCAGTCGGAATAGCATGTCTGGATGTCTATTGAGTGATACTTACAGACGACGGGGACATATGAAGGCCAAATGATTGCCGCCTCCCCGCATTTGCCACGTTTGTCGAGGGCATTTCATGAGACAAAACTTCGTCAATGGTATTGGAAGAATGTGCGGGCTCTAGCGGTCCATTGTCAAAGTGTTGACGATCCAGATCTTCAGCAAAGGATGGACTTGAGTGATTGAGTGGCCGCAACTCTTCCATGTCTGAGGCATCGATTATGGCGCTGGGTGTTTGTGGAGACTCCAAAATGAGGGCATCTTGATCATATTCATAATATGAAGGTGGATTACGGTATGCATCGTCTTGGAGTACGATGCATTGTGCTGAATCTGTGCGGGTTTGCGTTTGAGAAGCGGACGGTGTGCGTTCTCGCTCAGTGGCAAGGGCGACTTGGCTTTCACGAGGCTCTCTCATCCACTGCTCAAGCATCTCTTGGTAGATTCCGGGGAACGCAAATTCTACTTCGGCGGAGCATTGTCTCGATATGGGAACTGTTGCATGATTTGTCACGGTGCTCGTTGACTGTTCTTCCGTGACTCGCGACGGATAATGTCTGACGTGCTCCCCTGAGCGTGTTGTATGAGCGCTGAGATGACGGAAAATGCTGGGGGCTGTGCTCCTAGAAGATCTAGAAGACTGTCGGCTTTCTGATTCTCTGTTTCCGTCGCTCTCATTTAACATTGGATCTCTCTGAGCTCCATTGCCTTCCATCAGTTGTTGTGCCCAAGCAGACTGAGTATCACCGAGCCCATGGGTTGACATATCGAGTTCTTGGTCGGTCGTGATTGCCATACCCCATGGTGATTCTGTCAAGTCATGAAGTGAAGGACTGGTGTTATTGGCATGACCATCCAGCCGCTCTTCAAGATGAGCCGGCATATCTCCAGTGCTTGGGATCAGCTCTCCGGGGAGTTGATAATCAGCGCTGTCGTTGGGGCTGGAGGTGGACTCGGCCGGGTCTGTCAAAGGCGTACCCACCACAGGCATCAAATCTGGGCTTTGATGGACTGTAATCGTAGGAATTGCAGTTGGAGGAATATCATAAATGCTTGTCAGTGGTCCAGGTGCAGGAGTCAGACTGTCCGATGTAACATGTGCCTGGTAAACATCCACAGCATCGGTCTCGAGGGTTGGCCATGGGGTACCAGTTCGATATATCTCAGTGCCGAACCCCAAGTCATCTTGTGTACTCGAGTTGTAAGCTGCTGGCCGAAGACCTTGCTGCTCTCGCTCGCGCCTAAGAGCAACGGGACTAACAAAACTTCGCAACTCAGCAGCGGCTCCAAGCTGATCGTCTTCAACAGCGGAACGGCGCAATATGCCCGATCTCAATGCCAACAGATGGGACCTTGCCCTGTGATATGATCGTCTCGGGATGCTCTGAGCCCACTGGGTGTGCTTTCGTGATTCCGACGGATTCAGTGATCTTTGGCGATGCAGTGAGAAGGAATGTGCTTGGGGATTGTGACGAGGATCCTGAGGATCGAAGACAGGGTAAAGGGCTCGCTCTTGGCAAGTTGGTTCTCCCTTTAGATCAGGGATGCAGCTTTTTCAGTTAGCAAGAGGTTCTTTGCTGTGTGGGTACTGGTGTCTACCTGGCTCTCTTCCTCGTTGATCGAAACATCAAAGATAGTGAGAACCGCTGGCTGCGTGCAGCATTTGTCTGGATGTTGATATCCATGTTGAGATATTATGCAAAGGTAGAAGGAATGAGCTAAGAAGAAAGTTGAGACAATAGTCATGGAAGAATAATGTAAGAGGTGACATGAGGGTCGAAAGCGCCGACGAGGAAGGAACATCCAATGCCGCCAAATTGGATAGTTCCAAGGTTCTCTAAAAAAGAACTTGATTTAACTACAGATTCGGTAGCAATGTTAATGATATTGTACAAGACACAATAGCAATTCACAATACTTGATGTGGAGATATAGTTCGGCTCGGCCCCAAATAGCTTTTGTGATCGGCCCCAAGCTTCTTTTCTCCTCCTGCCTCCACTTCAGCTCTGCAACCCTTCTCATTCCTTTAATTCTCCGGATTATTCAACATGGCAAACAAAAAGCCTGTCTCCTTTGACGATATTATCCTGGCCGGTAATTCCTGCACCTTTCCGCTTATCCCCACGGAACTCTGACCCTTTCCGCCAGATCGCGAGAAGAACCAGAAGAAGAAACACGAGAACCTCGCAAACCAACTACTCGGAAAGAACCGACGGAGAAGCGCGCCCGCATCGGGATCTGGCTCTGGCTCTGGCGCCAACAGAGGACAGAACAAAACGCAGAATGCGAAGCCTGGAAGCTTAGCAAGCAGGATCGGAGTAGCCAAGGTAGGCGCGACCCCAGTCCGCCGCTATAACGCCACCGAAATGAAAAAACAAGGTCTGACAATCGCTCAACATTCAGCGCTCCGCGTCCGCGACCGTGAACCCCAACAAGAACAAACCAGCCCCCGCCACAAACACCGGCAGACAACGCGGAAACACAGGAAGAAACGATCGCGTAAACTCAGAACAGGTCTGGAATGCCATCCGGGCAGGAAATGGCCAAGCGAATGTGCGGTCGGCTAAACAGGGCCGGCCATCCGGGAACCTATCCATTAAGGGCGCTTCGGGGCCATTTGTTGTGGTAGGAAGGAACTTTGCGCCTGGCACAACCGCTGCCGACATTCAGTCTGCTCTGGAACCTACAACTGGACCCATGCTCAGCTGCCGGATAGTGGCCAGCCACCCGAGTGTCGTTGCGGAGTTTGCATTTGCAGAGAAGCAGACTGCTGAGCTGGTGATTGCGAACTTCCATAACCAGAGGGTAACGCTCATTTCGCCCTTGGACTCTAAGCCGATGCTAACATGTCTTACAGGCCGATGGCAGACTCCTCACTATGAGCCTCAAACCCGCCAATGCTGGATCCGACGCTCAAGATCCCTTCACTGCGCTTCGAGCACAGGCTGACCAAGAACGACTCCGCGCTCGCCGAGGTACCGGCCACCAGAACGATTTGCTAGCGCCGCAGGGGACTTCGCGATCTGGTCTCTACAGCGATGAAATGATGGTCGATACACCGCAGCAGAATAACAAGGGCAGCCAGAACCAGAACCGTCGGAAAGGACGACGTTAAGTACTGATTTGCAACAATAACACTTGGATTTGACCATACTTACTGGCGCAAGGAGCTTCATCACACGGGGTGGTCATGGGGCTATGTTTGTCGCTGAAATCTGATGAAATGTATGATATTGTTAACAGTAGTCGATTCATGCACTTTTTTGCACAATTCAGAGCACAGTTGCTGCTGCAAATAGCGGCAAACCTGATACAAGCAGTTCATTCATATCAATAACCATAACGAGCTTTAAGCCGTGTACTCTCGACTTTGGTCTGTATAGTGGCTGAGTTCTTCAGCCCATCATAGCGGTTCGTTGTGGCTGACCATGAGCACATGATATAAGCCAGCCCTAAGCACATCCCCGGATGAGGACGAGGAGCATCCAAAGGTCAGAATTCCGTATTTTGAAAGCAATCATTATCTCCAACAACGTGCTATATACCCCGCATGCTATCAAGAAACGAACTACCAACAGATCAAAGCACACCAGACCCAACAACCAACATAATCTCTACCAAATAGACTCAACAAACTCACCCACAGGTCTATACCACGACTCCTCCGCAGAAAGCCAAAGACGCAATCGTTTCCACTCCTCGCTAGCCCTCTCAATACAAACCGTGGACATATTCGCCAACGAAACCTAAAGCACATCACCATGATCTTACTAACCCCACTCATCCCCGCATTGGCCAGCATGCCCAGCTTGGTTCGAATGTGAACCTGCTTAATATTGATATCCTGGAACTCAAGGTTAGCTCCCATGGCACCGAGACCAGACATCCGGTTAAGACGAGATTTTCCGTCACACTGTTGAGGACATCGGCGGTGCAGCCAATAGGAGGAAGAACTTCATGCATAGAACACTTGCATACTTGGTCAAATTGGCTCGATCGCGCTGCATGTTATCCAAGAAGCCGAGAACAATTTCTTCAGGATGCAAGGCCACGAAATTCAGTACAGCGTTGAAGGTTGGGCCACCCAAATCCATGGCGGCCCGGGGATCTTCTTTATCTGGAGCAAATGGAAGTCGGGTACGAGCAGCTTCGAGGTAGCAATATGCCCAACTAGGCATAGTTCCGCAAATTGTCAGGTTGTCTAAGAAGGTTAACCGGTCCTGGGTGACCAAATATGTATGCGAATATGAATGGAAAAGGTGATTGGCTTTGGACGCCATCAATACCTAGGTATCTGGTTCCATCATTTGTATCGAAGGGCAAATGCATGCAAGACATGACTTAAATTGGTGTAATCGTTGGTGGCATCAGGCATAAGAGACATCAACTTACCACTTTGGGACTAGCGCCCGATAACATTCTGATAAGGATAAAGTCACGTGCAGCGGAGCTTTTGCGGAGAGATTCAGAGAAACATTTGGATTCGAGTGTTGGACAGTCGATTGAGGTCGGAGCCTTTTCTGTTACATGCAGGCCTGTGCTTATGTGTACATTTACCCAACCAATTTGAGATCACAGTTTCTCCCACTTCCGAGACTCGAGTCGACACCAAACAAAGATGAACCCAACGGCGAGGCGCGTAGCGTCGCATATTCTCCGCAGACCTCGCAATGCAGCGATTCCAAGATGCTCAAAAAGATGGAACTCCTCCACATTTGAGCAGAGAAAATGGTCCACGCCGCTAGCCCAGACATTGGCCAATGTGATGAAGGTACCTCATCCCGTATTCCGGTCCAATGGCACTTTTACTGACGATTCGCGGCTTTAGGTCACCGGTCCAGTTCCAATTGCGGCCTTTATGCGCCAAGTCTTGACTTCCCCTGATGGTGGCTATTATACAACACGAGGAGAGGGCGGAGGTGTCTTCGGCAAGAACGGTGATTTCGTTACTTCGCCCGAGATCTCGCAGGTGTTTGGAGAGTTGATTGGTATATGGACAATTGCGGAGTGGATGGCTCAGGGGCGGAAGAAGAGTGGTGTTCAATTGATGGAGGTTGGTCCAGGAAAGGGTACTTTGATGGATGATATGCTGCGGGTAAGTGTTTGTAATTGCTTTCTACGGTGAGAACCAAGAAGATCATTGGATTGACGGAGACTTTATATGGCAGACCTTCCGCAACTTCAAGATGTTCTCTTCAAGTGTGGAGGCTATTTATCTAGTGGAAGCAAGTGCAACGCTTAGAGAGGTGCAGAAGCGGTTGCTTTGCGGCGAAGAGGCTACAATGGAGGAGACAGATATCGGACACAAGAGTGTATGCAAGTACTTCGATGTACCGGTTGTCTGGGTGGAAGATATCCGCCTCCTGCCACATGGTAAGTGACGAGCACAATTGCCCACCATTTGGCCGAAACTGACCAAAGTACTCCGTGATATGCAGAGGAAGGCAAGACGCCTTTCATCTTCGCACATGAATTCTTCGACGCACTCCCAATTCACGCCTTTGAGTCTGTCCCGCCATCTCCCGAAAACGAGCAACCAGACCAGCCACGAAAGATCATGACCCCAACCGGTCCAGCCGAACTCCACAACCCGCCCAAGGCTGTAAACACACCGCAATGGCGCGAGCTAATGGTGACATTAAACCCTAAGGCCGTTGAAGAGAATATCGAGGGAGAACCCGAGTTCCAATTAACCAAGGCAAAAGCTTCGACACCTTCCTCTCTGGTGATCCCTGAGATTTCTGCACGCTACCGTGCTCTCAAGTCACAGCCGGGAGCAACTATTGAAATCAGCCCCGAGAGCCGTATCTATGCTGCTGACTTCGCACGTCGGATCGGTGGTGATGCTGCCTCTGCGCTTGCTATAAAGAAGAACACTGCTCCCAGCACGACTCCGTCGGCCCAGAAGAAGACTCCGTCCGGCGCTGCTCTAATTATGGACTACGGAACGCTGTCAACTATTCCTGTCAACTCGCTCCGCGGAATTAAAAGCCACGAGAAGGTGGCACCTCTCTCTGAGCCTGGCCGCGTCGATGTCAGCGCGGACGTGGATTTCACCTCGCTCGCTGAAGCAGCTATCGAAGGTAGCGATGGTGTCGAGGTCCATGGCCCTGTTGAACAGGGTGACTTCTTGAATGCTATGGGTATCGAGGAGCGTATGCGCCAGCTCCTTCGTAGTGTGAAGGATGAGGAAAAGAGAAAGACACTCGAAACTGGCTGGACAAGGCTGGTTGAGAAGAGTGGTGGATCAATGGGTCAAATCTATAAGGTCATGGCCATTGTGCCTGAGAACGGCGGACGGAGACGACCTGTTGGATTTGGAGGTGGCATCGAAATGTCTTAAACCACGCAAGTACGTTCTTGATGTCTTGCTGTAAACTAGTTTGTTCTGTCCCTCTATGTAAAGTAATATGATGCATATAAATACATTTCAATAAACAATATCTTCTAGACTTGTCGGGCAACAAGGATATGATGAGACCCAGGCATCTTGAGACCCTCTAGAATGTCGATGTAAGACAGGTAGGAAAGACGTTTTAAAGAACGTTAAAAAAGACGTTAGGAGGGCTGGCACACCTCACCATGAAATTCACCCAAAAAATAATTCATAATCAAACACATCAATGCATCTATCCAAGTGGTATCTTCGATCACGTTCATTTTCTCATTAAAAGAAGGGCAGACGTGCAAAGTAGTCAAGACCGCTTCACCTCAGGGACTTAAAGCTCAATATTCCTCCCAGATATCCGCAGCAAAAGCATCAGTTAACCGAACATCCTTGCCATACTTCTGCTGCCATTCCACAAACCCACCCTCTAGCACAAACACCTGTTGCTTCTGGCTCTCTTCCGCGCCAAGGGCACTTTCGCGCTCGCGCGCATACCGCAGAGCCGAAGAGGGACCGCGCTGCTGGCTCAACGCACAGTGGAAGATGACCATTTTCTTGTCCTTTAGAGTGCGGACCAGCTCTGGCATACGGACATCCAGTGTTGAGGTGGGGACCCAGGTTGATGAGTGGATGTGGCCACCGACATGGTCTAATTGGGTTATTAGCAGGTTTGATATATTCAGAAGGATGTTCATATCCATGTACCTGAGTCTCGGACATCGATGATTGCGAGGTTGCTTGGCTCGCTGGCTGAAAGGAGCAGGGCTGCAAGAGCATCGCGGCCCATGCGGGGGAGGGTTGCGATTGAGATGGATGACATGGCTTTTTGCAGCTCAAGATCAGACGATCTCCTCTGAGTGAAATAAGAAAGATATTTGTAAATACAAGAAAGTTTGCAGCTGTGATATTATTGATCTGTAAAGCGTCGCATGGAGCACGCACGTGACCTACAATTTCCAATCGGGGTTGATTTTCCACCAGAGCAACTTCAAGCACCTATTGACCCTGCGCACTCCGCCAGACCAACGCTCCAATTCCACGACCTGGCAGACGATCCGAAACCCCAATTACATTTGCATAATTCGACATACTCGTGTCCCTCCAAAGATGGACGTCCGCCTCCTGGCTCGCAGCCTCCGCGCCAGGCCGACGCCATTCCTCCAACAGCGAACCCAAACGCTACCCCGAACCACCCTAGCCACCTCAGTTCGCTTCAACTCCTCCTCCTCCGACGCCCCAACAGACGCCCCAGCACCCCCTCCAGCCGCGTCCTCCACACAACCCACAACCAAAACAGTAACAGCCACACGAGGCAAGAAACCCTCGGACTTCGACGACATCCTGGACAGACTTGACCTGAAACAAGACTCCCCCCAGCGCGGCCGCCGCATCTTCACAGACAGCCTCTCCCGCGCCGTGGGCCAGGGCGCCATCGGCAGGGGGAGACGCGCCGGCGGCCCACCTCCCCAACGCACAATCGACCTGAAGCTCGGCCCATCGCTTGGTCGACAGGCATTTGTCGAGCCTGAGCGTGGCCAGGACCTTGCTACTGCGCTGCGCAAGCTTAACACTACCATTACGCAGAATAAGCTTCGTCAGTCGTTCAATGCGCAACGTTTCCATACGCGGAAGGGTATGGTTGCTAAGCAGAAGAAGATGATGCGGTGGAGGAGGCTGTTTAAGGTCTCGTTCCAGAGTACTGTGCAGAAGATTCAGCGGATGCAGACTCAGGGTTGGTGATTTGTTGATCTCCCCCTCTGTTTTCTCGTTCTTGGTTTTGTCTGCTTTTCTGGATGTATGTATGTATATACTGAAGAGGCTGTCTCCCAGTGTGGGGGTGATTTGAGTAGGCTTTGATGTGTGGGAGTGGCCTGAAAATGGGTGTTTTTGATTTACTTGTTATCTGTGTACAATTATTACCTTGGTACCTGGATTTGTTTTGAATCTGGCTCTTGCATTAGACATGGAATGCATTGCACTTGAATTATCCACTATGGTCGTGTCATGTAGAGCACAGCTCTCGTCCTCGCAGTCAATTGTATCTTTCCTCCATCTTATAGGGTACACTGTACACGCCCATAGAACGTCACTATACCAGACTATACAGACCTCTCTCTCCCCTCAAACATCAAATCAATCCCTCTTCCCAGTAGGAATTCCATACGCACCACCACCAGCAGCCCCATTACCATTAGCAGGACTAGAATAACCACCATACCCATTAATCCTCCCACCATTCCCAAAAGTAACACCAGGACTCCTCGCGCCTCTAGCAGGAGTACCACCCAAAAGCCCATCACCATGCCAAGCAGGACGACCGCGGCCGCCATTCCTCTCCCAGTAAATGGCAACCAGCGCACCAACAGAAGCAGCCATCACAAAGAAAAACAGCTTCGAAAAGAACGACCCAGATCCCTTCCCAGACCCAGTCGCCAGAGACAACCAAGACGCAGAACTAGGACGAACTGGCCATCCAATACTATCACCACCCTCCAGCCAAGCAACATGGAACGAGAAAGTAAGCGGCTCGCCGCGCACAACCTTCGTCCCATGCCCAGCCGTCCACGGCTCACGCGCTGCCTGCGCAAGAGCAACAGGCTCCTCGTCCTCGTCAAGCTGAGGGTTCTTACCAGTATTATCAAACTCGGGGGTCGAGTACGCGGTTCCAGCAACAGCGAACCCAGGCTGGCCGGATTGCGCGCCGTTCATGGTTTTCTGCTCGGCCGCGGCGTCTGAGGCCATGTTATGCATGACGACGTTCATATCTGTCCAGATATGCAGGTGGCTGCGTTGCAGTGTACCCTGAAGAGCAATTGTGAGGGGTGTAAAGGGTGGCCCGTTATCAGCCAGCGCGGAGAGCGAGTCGACCTCGCCGGACGATGTCTCGGCGTTTTTGTCTTTCTTCTCGGTGTGGTCTGCGCTGTTGGTGGATTGGGTTAGGGGTGCTGTTGGTACGCGGCAGGTCATTGGGACGTCGGAGTGCACGTAGAACTCGAGGAGATGGTACATGTCATCGGAGAGGGAGGCGATGGTGCAGGTTATTGTTTCGGAGATGCCGTAGTGGAGGGAGAGAGGGCGTGCGGTTTCGTTGCAGGTTACGAAGGGGACATATTGTAGTTTGCCGAGGTCGTCGGTGATCTGATTTGTTAGCTGTTTGATTCATTGGGTTCGCGTTTGCGTTTGCGGGTTGTTGAATGCGTGTCAGGAGGTGGCAGGAAGGGCGCTGTCGCTTACATGTTCTCCTTCACTAGAAGGCGAGTCTTGGTTAGGGATGTGGTTATATGCTCGGCGTCAAGAGAACTTACACTGTGCGGTTCAGACATGATACTGGAATGTCTTCTCTCAGCTTGTATCCGTCGTTGTTGCCACTGCTGCTCCCCGCAAATGCTCCGGATGGCCACAACGCGCTCAAAGAAAGCAGAGCCACTGCTGCCGAGGATCGGCTCAATTGAAGTGTAGGAAACATTATTGTTATTGTAAGGACTGTGAAGAACTCGCCCCGCGTCGGCGAGTTTGTGTAGAAGGATGGCGCAGGGGACCAACACAGTGTTCTGCCGTGTTGCGGAGACGAGTGGCGGCGAACAAGAGCGACCCTCCCCTTACTGTTACTACCTTGATTGCGCCAACGGGAACGTCTCTACATTGGATACTTGCATCTAATCGTGTCCAAAACTGAAGAATATCGATAGCTGCTCATTTCTTTTTCAAACCAAAAATATGTGACAAAGTATCATTCGTTGCTCGTCATCACTGCATTTCCAAAAGACTCAAATCTATGCCAGGTTAGCCTTCGCCTTGAAGGCGAGCAGCAGACCGCTGGTCGAGCTGTCATGGTTGGCACCCTCGCCGGCGGTCTCCAGCTCCTTCTGGATGTTCTTGGCGAGGACCTTGCCCAGCTCGACACCCCACTGGTCAAAGGAATTGATGTTCCAGACGGCACCTTCGGTGAAGGTGAGGTGCTCGTAGTAGGTGATCAGAGCACCCAGGGTGGCGGGGGTGATCTTCTGGGCCAAGATGGAGGTGGTAGGGCGGTTGCCTAGGAAGGTCTTGTGGGCAACAAGCTCCTCGGGGGCACCCTCGGCCTTGACCTGGTCGGGGGTCTTGCCGACCATCAGGGCCTCGGACTGGGCGAGGAAGTTGGAAGCCAGCATGCGCTGGTGCTTGCCACCCTCAACGGGGTTGTGAGACTCGGCGGCCATCAAGAAGTCGGCCGGGATGAGCTTGGTACCCTGGTGCAGCAGCTGGAAGAAACTGTGCTGGGCGTTGGTGGCAGGCTCACCGAACAGGATGGGTCCGGTGGTGTACTTGACGTACTCGCCAGAGCGGGTAATGGCTTTGCCGTTGCTCTCCATGGACAGCTGCTGCAGGTAAGCGGGGAAACGGTGGAGGTACTGGTCGAAAGGAGCGACCAGGTGAGTCTGGGCGCCGAAGAAGTCGCTGTACCAGACACTCAGGAGACCACCAAGAGCGGGAATGTTCTTCTCGAGGGGAGTCTCGCGGAAGTGCTTGTCCATGGCCTGGGCACCAGCCAGGAACTGGTGGAAGTTGTCGTAACCAATGTACAGAGCTACAGACAGGCCAATGGCACTCCACACGGAGTAGCGGCCACCCACCCAGGACTCGAAACCGAACATGTTCTTGCTGTCAATACCGAACTTTGTGACCTCGGGCTCGTTGGTGGAAAGGGCCACGAAGTGCTTAGCAATGTGAGCCTCATCCTTGGCGGACTGGAGGAACCATGACTTGGCAGAGTTGGCGTTGGTGGTGGTCTCGGCAGTGGTGAAGGTCTTGGAGGCAATCAGGAAGAGGGTGGTCTCGGGGTCAGAGTGCTTAAGGGCCTCGGCAATGTGAGTACCGTCAATGTTGGAGACGAAGTGGAGGGTCATGTCGGGGTGGCCGTAAGGCTTAAGGGCCTCGGTGACCATGACAGGACCGCTGTTAAGGGATTAGCTAACAGTCATTGATCACACGGGAAGGAATGCTCACAGATCGGAACCACCGATACCAATGTTGACGATGGTGTTGATCTTCTTGCCAGTGTAACCCTTCCACTCGCCGCTGCGCACCTGCTCGGAGAACTCCTTCATGTGCTCAAGCACGGAGTGGACATCCTCAACCACACTCTTGCCGTCGACTTGCATGGGCTCCTTAGAGACATTGCGCAGAGCAGCGTGGTAGACAGCACGGTCCTCGGTGAAGTTGATGTGCTCGCCACGGAACATGGCATCACGGAGCTCCTCAACATTGGCCTCCTTGGCCAACTTCACCAGAAGAGACACGGTCTCCTCGGTGAGGAAGTTCTTGGAGAAATCGAAGAGGATGTCCTGGTTGTCAACGGTGTTGGTAAAGGTGTGGCTGAACTTCTCGAAGCGCTTAGGGTCCTTCTGGAAGTACTCCTTCAAGACAATGTTGCGTCCAAGAGCATTGTGGTGGTCCTGGAGCTCCTTCCAGGCGGGGAGGTCGCAAGCTTGTGAGAAACCAGGCATGATGACGATTATGGGTCTATAGGCAGAGCGTTAGTGCGGGGCAAGCACAAGCAATGGAGATAGGTATAAGAGTATGCAGAGAGTAGAGGTACACACCTAACAGTTTTGAAGGGGGTATATGGAGGAAGAAACTAAAAGTGGGAGAGGAACAAGAAAAGTAAATGAGGTCAAACGAGTCCGGCGCGTTGGGGTCCGGTCGTGGGGCATCCGGCGAACATCATCATTGCCGCATTCATGTTTTTGCTATTTATTCCCCTATTAATTCTCCGATTTATCCGCAGTAACTTGCTCCGTAGACCGAACTTACCAATTCGTACTCAGGCTAATGATTTTACTCTTCTAGGCCCAGTCTTACCAATTCGGCTGTTCCAGAATACCCGCAAACCAAACCGTACTTGATGTGTCTGACGTCTATAGCGGGGCATTGGCAACTGAACGGCAATAACGTCAATAACGTCAACTTTTGTTCTTCAACCTCAGCCGCGTTCTCAACATAGAGGATATACTAAAACCATAACACTAGTATCATCAATATGACTGCTCATCCTTGGCCTCGGCGTAACAAGGGGAAGCTGATCATATTCCCAGCTACCTATTACCGTGTCACGTGCCTAGATGCTCCAAACCGGCAGTTCTCGAATTACATCTTGTACACCTTACGTCTCACTATGCGAAAATGGTTGACAAGCAACGGGAAACTCTTCTGGCTCCGTGGAAGTATATGATATATGGCTGGGGGTCACCATTCTTAAACAATTACAACTTGAGGCACTCGGAAACGGGTAGAAAAGAGGTGTAAAAGAGAGGCCCAAGTAGGGCAAAAACAATGCATGAAATGGTATACTCGCTTCCAAGCTCTCCTTGCCATAAGCATGTGAGACTTCGTCAACCTGCGTCTCGGCGGGAGCGTGGCCCTCGCCTTCGACGGTCTCAGTGGGGGCGGTAGAGGAGATTTGTGTTCTTGCACACTGTTCTAGTGCAACGGTTCTGGCCTTAGCAGCAGCGAGTAGACGACTCCATTGAGGCATGATCGCCTAGGCCGACACCAGCACCGTAGTGCAGTGCGCGGTGGAGAATGAGGCCGATGAATGATATACTGGGCACCATAATACTTGGCGACGCATGCAAGCAGCGTTGATTTCATTGGCTGGCTCATCGCGAAACAATCACCAAGCCATATCCAGGCTATTTACAAGGCGGACGATGTACATAACATATTGCTAAGGCTTGCAACGCATGATACACAGTTGTGTTATTTTTTTAAAAAAAAAGAATCTGCATTGGTATCTACTATTCTTTATTCAAACGCGAAGCCCTTAGGAAGTCGCTCCTTTATATAACACTCATTAGTACAATATCGCACCATGACCCGCAGTCGCAGCTTGGGCGCAATCTGCCTAGCATGCTTCACCCACGGGTGCGGCTCATTGGGCAAATACTGGTCCATATAGATGTACTTTCGCTCCGACAGGTGAGGAAGCCAAGCGGAGCCCGGGTTCGTCCCAAGAATGTCGAGATTTCTGTCTCGAGCCGACTGCCACATGTACGCGAGGATAGTCCATTCAGCTTTCCTTTTCCATGTTTCCACAGCCATTTTGAATAGAGAACTGGTAAATGTTTCGAAAAGCGTTTGCACGACCGGTTCCTTTTCCAATGCGTGTTCCCGGTATAGTGCCTGGAATTCCCTTAACCGAGCCTCATCGTCAACATCAACCATCTGAACAGGCGCATCGCCCAGCAATCCGAATAGACCAGACCTCAGAGCAACTTCCCTGGTGATATGCAGAGAAACCCCCGCCATGGCTATGTCTAGCCTGCTGCGTTGACCTTTCGCCCAAGGTAGGATATCAACAATCTCGCGCACGTCATCGGCTCCTCCTCCTCTGCAGTGATAACGAACTTTCGGTGTATCCCATATGCCGAAATGAAAAGAGTTATGGCTGCCAAGCGCATCAGCATCGCCAGCGCAATCCATCACTGCCTTCAAGCTAAAAGTGTGAATAAGATCTGCCGCGACAGAAGGCCGCATCCCAAGATCCTTCGCCTGCAATAGAAACTCGTCGACCCAGCCTGGAGCGTCTGAATCAACTCCCCAGGAAGCATAGCGCAATCGCGTCCAGTTAAGATGCAGCACATCTCGATGCGGCTGCACCCATAGCGACTCCATGGTTCTCACATCAGCCGGCTCCAATAGGCGTCCTTGCTCCAGTGCGACTTGCCGAGACTCACTGTTGACGTATGCAATGGCCGGTATCTGAGCGTTTTGGAGTGTCATGCGTAGGTTCCAGCAGACATGTTTGGATTCGTAGCCATCGAAAAAGCCGTCAGGGGTGTCTTCTTCTGCTATACGATACGGTAGGCAGTGCATCCAGATCATACGGCGTAGCTCTGCGGGTAGCTGCACAAAATAGTGGAATGAGTCGTTGCTCATCTTGTGCGCTCATTTGTTGGCCGCTGTCATATGAGGTGCGAGTATCAAGATATCGCAGCTGGCCCAGTATATCTGTGCGTTGCAGAGCGGAAGTCTCATATCCACAGCCGAAAACACTGTTTCACTCATGAACAACCTGATCAAGAAATACTCCCTGTTTCGGAAACATCTGCCGTGTCCGGAAACCCCACCGGAGAACAAAGATCGCAGTAAGTAAATGCAAATCTGACTCTGATTCATCGATCTGTTGGTGCTCTGCATGTCCACCTCCGCAGTTATGAACATTCATAGAGCTGTTGGCTTGGTTGAGGCGCACTAAACGCTCAACTTGTGTTCTCCAGGTATCGCTGCACAGTTCAGCATCTTCTACAAGCTTCCGTGCACGCTCCTCAGATTCATCAATGCTTTTCTGAGCTTCTACTTTCGTTGACTGGATAAGCCGTTCTGCGCGCTCTCTCGCATCGTTCGCCCGCTGCTCAGCGGCAACAGTCCGACTCCTGCGACAGAAGTTAGCATCCATCTGGTAATACTGAGCTCGAACAATCTGGTTTCTTACTCTGTGAAGACTTGGTTCCATGAGATCAACAGCCCACATAGCAATTTCCCCCGAAGCCATATGTCCATCGCTTCGGCATATACGAGTATTGTCTTCCCGGAGCTTTCATGAATAGTGCTCCTTCAATTGTCCGGTCTAAACACCTCGTTGCCCATTATGATTGGGACGAGAAAAATGACATAGCTTGCACAGTACGCTACCACGAGATTTCTGAATATTTTGTAGAATGGAAAACTTCGGTTAAATTTGAGCAGACTCTGGGGAAAGTTAGTATTCTACAAATAAAGAACTGACCCTATGCAGAATGCCCCGGGTAAATCACCTACAGAACTGTCGAACTGGAGCCGTTGCCAAGATCGGTGGTGCACAGACCACATCAATTGCACTTCTTTCGCTGGCTTCAAACGTGACATTTCACCTGCGTCTGTGTACTTCCATTTCATTACAATTTGGAACTGAGCCTTGACCAAAATTGCACAGTGAATCGTGCACTGGTCCAGTCTCTTCAATATGTACAATCCTTACCAACGTGAGTGGTGTCCTCCCCGATCCTCGAAAATGTCTCGAGACTTCGCGACACAGAAGCTAATCAATATACAGCACCGGGTCTCTACGGCCAAGCTCCTGATTATGGTGCCTACGGTGCGCCCCCAGGAATGGGTGAGTCTCATCGCCACCGACAGAACCCTCTTTTTCAAATAGGCTAACCAGCTCCAGCGCCTCCTCCAGGGATGGCCGCCCCAGGAACTGCTGCTCCCCCGGGTCTGCAGCAAGCAAACAGCCAGCAGCCTGGCCGACCAGGAGGCTTCCCGCCCAACTTCCAACCGCCCGCGAATATGCCCAACATCAATTTTTCCGCGCCCGTGATTCGTCTGGGAACCTCGGGTCCCGCAAAGCCTGCAGGCGCAGCCCCAGAGATGGGCCGGGAGCGGGGATCGGATGGTCCTGGCCGCCGTGCTGGCCTCGGAGCTGGGGGCATGGATACCCAGCGCCACCACCCCCGTGATGCGATGATGCCACTTCAGCCTCCTACACGCGACGAGGTCGTGCGCACGCTTTTCGTTGGCGGAATTACGGAGGGTGCGGGAGGTGATGATGGAATTGAGCGTATCCTAGGGTCTGTGGGTGGTCTGCGACGGTGGATTCGCGCCACGGACGCCGATGAGAAGCCCTGCCGGTTTGGCTTTGCCGAATTCGAGGATCCCGCGAGCCTGGAAATTGCGGTGGAGATTCTCAAGGATGTGCAAGTGCCTGTGAAGAGACAGACGCCTCGCGCTGAAGGTGCTGAGGAACAGGAGGTCGAAAAGAGCACACTTCTGGTGCGTATGCATTGTTGTCTAATCGCAATGGAATACTACTAACACATGCGATAGGTCGTCGTGGATGAGAGCACGCTCACCTACCTCGAGCAGTTTGAGGCTACGCGGGCAGAACAAGACCCCGAGGAACGTCAGGCACGCTTCAGCGCCGCCCGCAATAACCTGAACAGTGTTTTGTCTGACCTTTGCAACCCTACTACCCCTACACAAAAGGAGGATGCGTCGGCCCTTGATCGTGAGGGAGACACTGAGATGAAGGACACCGTTACGAAGGATGGGGAGGTCGTTACCATTCCGATTACAATTGAAGACGAGTTGGCCGATATTCCACCCGAGATGCGCGCAAATGTTGCCAAAGAGATTGCAGCATTCCGTGAACGAAGCAATCGCCGAGACATTGAGCGTCTGAGGCGTGAGGAGGAGATTGAGTCTATGGAACGTGCCCGGAATTCTGGCTCGAGGATCAGCCGCCTTTCTTCACCCCCGGCATCGGCTCCGAGTGGCCCTGCTGGTGGTTCCAACAATATTCCGTTGGGTCCTCGGGATCGCAGCGGACCCAACGCTAAGACATTTGGTGTGCAAATCCCCAAGGACTATCAGAAGGGTGTGGCCTTTGTGAATGGCGGATCACTCAACGGTTTCTCCATTGACCGCGACGCCGAGGATTCTGATGCTAGCGATGAGGAAATCGAACGCCGCCGACAGGCAAAGTATAACGATGACCAAGAGAAGCAGTTCTTAGACCAAGAGCGCCGCTGGCTCAACCGTGAGCGCAGCCGAACAGCCGCCCTCGAGCGTGAGAAGAAGCGAGAGAAGGAAGAGGACGGAAAGCTACAAGCTGCGCACGACGAGATGGAAGCACGCCTCAAGGCCTGGAATGATGATATCGAAGCCAGCCGCAAAACAACCGATTATTACGCAGACCGTGGCGCATGGCTTCGCAGCCGCGCCGCGCAACGCGCTCGCGAGATTAACATCGACGATGCCGACCGCGCTGCCGAGGACCGCGAACGCGTTCGCACCGCCCAGCAACAGGAGCAGGCTCGCGGGATGGCGGATGACTTCCTCGCCCGCCAGGCTGAGGAGCTCGAGGCCCGTACCCAGGAGGCACCCCGCGAACCCCAGCGCTTCAAGCTGTCCCTCGGAGCCGCCGCCCAGAAGGCCCAGGCTGCTACCAGCCGCCGCACGGTGGCCGAGGTCGAAGGTCTACTCGAAGACGAGGAAGAGCCCGCCACCACCACCCGCCGCCAACTTGTCCCGATCAAGTTCGACTCCGCCGCCGAGGCTGCTGGTCTCACCGACGAAGAACGTGCCCAGGCAGCTCGCCAACTCGCTGCAGAGATCCCGACGGACAAGGAGGGTCTTTGGAAATGGGAGGTCAAGTGGGAGTTTGTGGACGAGACTATTCTCAGCGACCAGCTCAAGCCATTTGTGGAGAAGAAGATCGTCGAGTACCTTGGTGTGCAGGAGCAGATGCTGGTGGATGTCGTGGAGGAGCATGTGCGCAAGCATGCGCCTCCTCAGGAACTGGTCGAGCAGCTGGCAGAAGTGAGTATTGATCCATTTTCATTCTTGAATCTGTTACTGACCACACAATTCACAGGCATTGGACGAGGAGGCCGAAGTTCTTGTTCGCAAGTTGTGGCGGATGATTATCTTTTTCTCGGAGAGCGAAAAGCGCGGTTTGTCTGCGTAGATGACATCTCGGTCATGGTCATATAT